AAAATGACTGAAAATTGCAAATTTTGCAAGGCTATATTATCCGCATTTTACAACATTTCGCAACGAAACTTTGGAATATTACTAATTTTGTAATGCTCTTTCAAGCTGTGATGAAATTTTTGTCTAGATCATCAGATGAAATTTTTGTCTAGAAATTTAGTCTATAATGCAAATGGTCCATTGGAGAGTGCTGCCACTCAATGGGTTAACCAAACAAACAGCCCATGCATCCTTGATGCGTCCTACTTGAGTATTTTACTCTGTCTAACGCCAGAGTATTTTACTCTGTCTAACGCCAGACGATTTTACTTGTCAAGTGGAGAGTGCTGCCACTCGATGGGTTAAACATTTTTTTACCGTTTTCAACAGGCGGACATTGTAATGCGATATAACACATTTTGGTTTCATTTTATTCACAATAAAAACGTTTTACTCATTATTTTCTTAATGATCGACAGCTTGTTGAAAGCAAGATTTTCGAAATTCTTCTGGCACTGTCCCAGGATGCAACGCTGGACGCAAATATAAAAGAAGCCGTCATTGACAGTTTGGGGAAAGCGAAAGCCTGGGAACTAATTAAGAAAGCCCCCAAGGAAAACTGAATTGGTCATAAATGAAAAATTAATATTTAATCGAAGAAACACCGGGTATCCCCAAAAAAGTCCCCCTATATAGAAATCACTCTTTTGTTGTTGGACGTGCCTTGTTATACCGCTGGGAATTTAAAATAGCTTGTAAAACGAACAGCAACACAAAAATGTCAAAATACAAATTCGTCTATCGTCAGTTCGAGTAAGAATGGTTCAAATGACTACAAAGCAACGAGTATTTGTCGTAACAATTTATACGTGAACGCAAAGTGTAACCGAAGTGTTAAATTATTTGGACGAAGGTAAGTTGTAAATACTTCCGCCGTTCATGTACAATTAAATTAAATCCACAAAGGTATAATAACGCACAAGAGTGATTTCTAAAGAGGGAATTTTTGGGGGGACACCCTGTATATGGTTGAATTAACCAGATTATGTTAGATGGACTATTAACCAGGAATTCTTGGTTACCGCTACCATTGAGGGACCATTAACTAATCAGATGTATTTATTTAGTCTACCCGATTGACCAATGAGATGCGTACTTAGTATGAGGTAGTGGCCAGACTATAGACCCATTGCACTGACGTCACAAATCCTTAGAGTGTCCTCCAGATGCTCCCTAACAATATCTGTTCGGGTACAACAACCACATACAGCGCAAAAATTAACCATTTTAATACAAAATTATTATAAAGTTCTACAAAATTTGCTTCGTTTACAAAAGTTATATTATGCATAGATTGCTAATTTGTCCTCCAGATGCATCGTCACTGGCGCTGTGACGTCATGTGCAATGGGTCTATACCTTTTGGACTTTTGTAATTTTGTATTCTTTTCTATTTTAAACTTAACGCTAACTCCAATCTTAATCCTAATCCAAACCATAATCCTAACCCAAACCATAATCCTAACCCGAAAAGTCTAAAAATAGTAACTGTTCCTAAATCATGACTCGTGTATGGACTAAACGGTCTCTCTCCTCCGCAGATCCGCCTGCGCGTCTTCCACACAGCGGTTCGATACGGTAAACGCCATGTAAAGCTCATTGAAACCTCTGCGGAGGAGAGAGCTAGACGGTCGACATATTCCCAACCGTCTCGCGCTGTAAGAAATTTTAATCATTGACAATGTCCATTTTATAACTTTTATTTTTATTCTAACGTACGCAGAATATATTACATCACTTCATTTGACAACACATGTAATGTAGTTAGTAAACAATTTCTAAGGTTAATTATATTAAATGTTATTTTTCTATTCTGTGAATTGAATTTCGAGATTTTTGCATGACGATGGCTGAAACTAATTGTTGTAGCAATGTTTGTTATTGCAAGTTCAATAATAGTTTTACGTTGTTGTAACCCCCAATAACCGTAAGGGCGCACGAGTTGTAACAAATCTGCAGCAGACTTCTAGCAATGCTGTTTCAACAATTTGTCATCAGGATGTGTTCGCACTGCTTGTTCCAAGCTTGTCGACAAGTTTCAACGACTTTGCTGGCAACTTGCTACAAGATTGTTGACTCGACAGACTTGTTACAAGTTGTTCCAACAACTTGTTATCGTCATGTAATTCAATTACAACTTGTTAACAAGTTGTGAGTGACAACCTTGCGGCAACTTGATAAAATGACAACATTGTTGCAACTTGTTGGCAAGCTTGTTGTAAGCCTGTTGCGAACACATATATCTTGTTGACAAGATGTCAGATTTCACGTGTATTTTTCGGGATTTTAGCAAGCTTTATTACCAGCTATTTGAAATGTAGCAACTTATAAAGGTCATTTTACACCAGACAATTTATGCTGCGCACCTGACCGCCATTTTGTGGGAAACAATTCAAAATTGTCGGAATAATATGAGTATGCAAAAATCTCGCGAAAAAATTCTGGGTCGATTTCCACAATATAACGTCTTCAATTTTACAAGAATAGAATAATTTTATTGCTTCTAAAGCATTTTATACGCATTATTTCACAGAAATAATCTTAAGTACGCTTTTACTGAACTTATATTGCTTTCTTGACGTTCCTTATAAAAGAAACAATTCCAATTGACCCGAGAGTCAAAAACGTTTAACTGGGAGCTAATATTTTCCCCCTGCGAAAAGCCTTCTAATATTCATTATAATAATTTGTAGCCATAAATTGGCCATAAATGTTTTACTGTTATTTTTTGGTCCTTGAGATTTATAAGACACCACCATCATGCGAAATGCAAACCACGAATTTTGCTAACTATGGGCCTGTAGACGAATTATAGATTTTCACATTTTTATTGTACGTTCTTTTACTTGCCTAAAGGCTGTCGGCCGGTTGTTACCGAGGTTTAGTTTCTCGCTAGAACCGCTGGGATTCTCGCGAACGTCTTTCAAAGATGACTGTCTATTGAAGAACATCATGTTGGCTGCGTTTTGTTGAAACTGAGAGATGTTTTCTTTGCTCACTTTTCGTACTTTCAGCACTTTTAACTGGCGTCTAAAAGCATAAGATATTTGGTTAGTTTTGTCCGACGTATAAATATACCGAAATTATTGCAACGGAGGGATGTTGTTTCGCTCAGTTTCTGAAAGTTTTACATTCCGTGTCGGTATGTGCTTTTTCGCGCCGCTACGAATTGCTATCGTGTATAGTGTAAACATAGCCATTGCATGACCATTGTTGAATTTGTGGACGTCTTCAATAGTTTTTCGTAATGTTAGGTTTAATTTTTATATTACTGTAAATTCTACAGGGTGTATAAAAAAAAACCTGAACTCTTTCAAATCCAAATTAGCTATAACGTATTGTAGTAATTTGACAGCTCTAATTGCCTTGAATTAATGGTTGGGTAAGAACACAAGGAATACTGTATTTCTTTTAAATTTTCTAATTTTTATTTCTTTGAGTTTTGTCCCATGAGTACAAGACCTAATGTTCTTATCCAACCATTAATTTAAAGCAATTAGAGCTGTCAAATTACTACCTGTACAATACGTTATAGCTAATTTGAATTTGAAAGGGTTCAGTTTTTTTTATACACACTGTATATTCAATGTTGTAGAATATTTTGAATTTGAATATATCACGATCCAGTGATCGGAATGTTCCACTGTCTTTTCATTGTTTAAAAAATCTCACTATTCTCCATGCCATCCAGTAAATCATTGTTTAGACATAGTTATGACGTCTGCAAGGACCTATATTCGTTCAGTTTCATGCGCCCTGGTTGAACTCGGAAGGCAAAACCATGCAAATTTGAGCATGCATGGTTTTGTAGTCATCAGGTCCTGTGGGAACAAAGCATGACTGTTTTTGAAAGCGCATGCAAATTTACATATTCCCTTGAGCATACTTTTTTACTTCGACTCATAATCCTGACCATACAATTTGAAATTCAAATCATTTTGTGTCGTGAAATCAAACCAAGAACGTGGCATTCCGCCGTGCAGACTGACTATCCGCGACGTTCAAATTTTGGAGAATATATCAGGAAAACTATAAACCCGGTGGATTGCTTCGTCAACTAAACTCACGCCGTATACAAAGCAAATAAAGAAAGGTATTTGAACAAGTTTGTGATAGCATAGCACTGATATTTGAAGTTCATTAAAAAATATTTGAATGTTTGAGACGTGTAATCGGTTGTTCGTCGTTTTACTTTTTAAACAAACCACAGTCACAGCATTGACGTGAGGTAACTGTTTAACAACATTCTGTACACACGAGCAACAAACTTGTCAGAGGAAATTTGAATGTCAAGGAACGGCTTGTTGACCGTTGTTGACCGTACACACGAGAAGGTAAACTTGTCAAGGAAACTTGGCCAGGGAAACTTGCTCGTCTGTACGAGATGGTATATGCAGTGGCGGCGCCAGGGGGGGGGGGCAAATGCCCCCCCAAAATTATTTTTTGCCCCCCCATTTTGCCCCCCCTCAAAAAAAATTATTAGTCACTAAGAGCGACTAAAGGCTACACAAGTGTTCTGTCGTTATCGGAAAATGTATGGCTTATAAGTTGTCATTACTCATTAGTGAATGCGCGTATACATGAAACTGTCAGTTTTACAGTTTCAATATTAGTTTGTAAATCTCTGAATGGTAAAACTTGCCAATACTCCAATAATACGTTTCAAAAAAAGGCAAAAAAGCTTTAGTTTTGCAGAGTTAAATTCTCAAACGTGTAAGGCAATAATAAGATGAAAGTATCACGAAATTATTTGAATAAACCACACCGCATATATGGGGGGCGAATGTCCTAAAAAGGGGCGATATTCCTAGGGTATTCGCCCCACCCCCTGGGAGGCGATATTCCTAGGATATTCGCCCCCGGGGGCAATATTCCTAGGAATATCGCCACGTTTTGAGGGGGCGGGATTTCCTGGGGGGGCGACCTTTTTAAAAATTCTATCTTGCCCCCCCAAAATTTGAGTTTGCCCCTCAAATGCCCCCCCAAATTTGGAAGCCTGGCGCCGCCACTGGGTATATGGTATGGTATGGTAATGGTATGGTATAGTACGGTATGTCCTGAGTGCAAATTATTGACTCGAGAATAATTCTACATAAAAAACTAACCTCTCACTTCGAGGCGACTCGGCTGAACCTCGCCTCGAAGATGAAGCGCTGCTGCTGGCACTTGAACTGTCATCCGATGATGGCCGTCTAAAATGTTGGAAATTTGAAAGTTTTAGCTACTGAGTCGATTTAACAATTAGCTGTTAGCCAAATCAGAACCAATGGCAATGAATCTTCTAAATAAATTATAATATAATTTTACCTTTTATCACCAGTAAAGGTCGGCTCCATCTGAAAGAAAGATGACAAAATTAAAAATTATAGTGTGTTTCTACCGACTATAAAGTTACTATGCTTTCATGAACCAATTAAACAGGTGCATCGCGGGGCTAGTATATATAACCGCTTATCTGAGCAGATAAAATCATCTGCCGTTAGGCCAGGCTTGCTGTTTGGGGGTTTTGGGTTCATGAGCAGGCACAATTTAATGATAGGTTCACTCAGTTCATCTTTGCTACAGCTTTATGAATGCAAGTACTATTTAAAACACAAGCAAGAGTGCTTTTTTATTTAAACATATTTATGCGTTTGCCCCAAGTCGGGCCAAGAGCTATATAAGCTCATCTAGGGGGCTCACGCCAATTTACATTTAAATACTTTATATAAAGGGTGGTATATAAAATAATAGAATAGACAGCCTAGGAAGCGGTTGGATCAATCGTTACAAACTGCAAAACGCTCCGATCTTTTGATATACGTTTGTGCATGGCAGTGGCGTGCTGGGTACTATTTTTCTGGGGGGGGGCAGTCGGCTGGCAACTAATATGCGCCCCTATAATATTACCCTTGATAAACGAGGGCCGAAGGCACGAGCCGAGCGCCGCAGGTGCGAGGTTTGTCTAGGGGGGTCCGGGGGCATGCCCCCCAGGAAAATTTTTTAATTTAGAGTCTCTGAAATGCCATTTCCTGGACTTTGGGGGAAGATTTGACAGAAATCTGATGGTCAGGAAACGGCATTACAACGTGTCGAAATTTGAAAATTGGTTAGAATTTAGTAGTAGCACTTAAATTGGGCAATGCTAACTACTTCCACAAATTAATCTAATCCCAATTCTATTCTCTACTGATCTGAATACATTTACAACTTACAGCTCTTTTATACAATAACACACGGACCCCACGCATATGCATTTTAAGGTTTCCTTTGCCTGGCTGCCAAAAGGGCGTGTTTCATCATTATCTCATTACTTACATTACTCATAATGTTTCTTGCGCAAACAATTAAATTGCGTACACAACTTTACATTATCATACTTCAACTATCTAATTTGCGCCGCTCTCGTGATTCGTGAAGCATAATATAAGGGTATAATACCAGCAAAAAAGGCGCATAATTCCCCTGATCGCTTCGAAGCCTGATCAATATTCCGGTAATGAGACATTGCGTGTGATCACTGATCATGTTTCTATATGAACGAGTGATTTCGTGTGAGTCGTGAGGTAGCAAATACGGTTAGACAAAATAGTCTGCAATTTAATATACTCACTTTGTCGCCTATGCGCTTAGTCTGTTTATAAGTCTATAAACACATCTTTCCTTGGAGGAATTCGTAAGTAATTTTTTCGAATGCGTTTCTTCCCACCTACTTCAAAATTCGGCGCCCCCTTTTCATTTTTGCGCCCCCCAAAAATTGCCAGCTGGGGGGGGGGGCGTGGCCCCCCAGCCCCCCCTGCCAGCACGCCACTGGTGCATGGAAAAAAATGGCATTGTTTTGATTCAAAGTCAGATTCTCAGATCCAAACAAAAACAATTTCGTTTTAGAAGAATCGAACATGTAATACCAGCCGCTTCCCAAGATTTCAACCATGGCCGCCAACAGGAAAGTCCTAAGGCTAAGAGCAGCATATCGGGGACAATATAAAAAATAATGAATTACAGATTCGCAATTAAATCCACAATTACATGCTGGAGATATCACGCAATTCATTTTGAAAAGATAGTAGTTTAAAGCACAACAATTCGAGCGAAGTCGAGCGTGAAGAATAGAATTTATCTATCTATAGTGCATAATCATAGCGTTTCTCATAAGTTGAAATGTCAAAGAAATAGCTTTTAAAGAGAGTTCCCTGCGAGCGTTTTAAATGGCTTAAAAAACGACCCTGCATTTAAAGGGTTCATGCATTTGCGAAGTAATTTTAGAAATCAACGTCGTCTACTGACTAAGCCGAGAAAATCAAAGCTAAATTATGAGTGTTTTATTACCATATACAGTATGATAAAAACTGTACAGAAAGCGTTCATCAAATTTTTTCCCAGTTGGGTCATAACCATTAAAAGTAAACGTGAATTTTAGCACGCAATATAGCATGCTGCATTTTGTCAAGGTTCAGATAAAAGCAATCTGCGTTGTGTACGGTCGGTTGCAGACTTTGTGACATTAACTAAAATAGTTCGGATTTAGGGTTTAATGATTACAAACAAAATGTGCGTGAAATTTGGCATGCATCGATCGGTGGTACATTTCGACAATGTAGATGGGTTTTTCGAAAATTTTGAGTGTAAATCTTATTACTTATATATTTATTAGATCTAAATTATGTAACCATAGGTCCTCTGGCAGGAATGGAACTTGTGGCCATACGAATCGCTGTTGTTTGTCACCCATGGTAACCGTTTGTTGCTATTGGAGCAAATACCGCAGACATGTTTTGAATGTTTTACGGGATTGCGGTGACGTGAAGCCACGAGATTTCTGGTAAATCTATTTAAGCTTTTCTTTAAGCTTATTAAAGAATTACGAGATTTATTTCAATGACGTGAATATTAATAGTCTGTAGTACCATGCTGACAAAATGGACAGAAACCAGTCCGTGGCTGTTGCTGTTAATAATATTCATGTTCGGAAGCCGTGAGTTTGTATTTTTGATTATTAAATCAAATGGGGCGCTGTTTATACAGAAGCCAGGCTAGCCCGTTTATCGGGATAAATTTCTCTTGTGTTTATATGAGAAAATTTTATCCCGCTTGCTGGCACAAATTTGTTCTCATCCCCCCGGTAAGCGAGTTCTTGCGAGATCTCGGCAAAAAACGCACTGTAATTTTTGCTATAAAAATAACAACACGGCGAGATCTCGCTTACCGAACTGTCTCGCTATAAGCACGGGCCAGCTCTGCTTCCATACAAACAGCCCCTAATACCGAAAGGTACATGCAACTGCATGCTATCGACAAGACTAGCAGCTGTCATGCCTTTATAAACAAAGCCTATATACATACAATATACCCGTGTTTTTGCATCGATGTTTTGTTTTCCTAGCTCAGATATTAAAAACAAACAAAGACGTAATTGTAATAGTTTATCAGTTTCACAATCTATTATTGCGGAGGTGTCTTGCTATCTTTTATCCTTATTGAAACAGTTCTAACAACTTTATTGACGAGAAATGACTCGTTTTCCATATGGCAATGTTTGGTATATGACTCAATCCCGGCGCTTCTTATAAAAACATGGAGTCGGAAATGGCCACGATGTATTTTGCCTACTAGGATGTTCTCCGCTGTGGGTTTGTTAGTGTTTTGGGTGCACTGAGTGTTTCTGTTGAGATTTTGTGTAATTTGGAGAATGTTAGGAATTGACAGCATGCATTCATTTTCGACTGAGAGTTCCCTGAGAATTCTCCGTCCAACAGATATCCAGAGGGCGACGCAACAAGGCGGCAGGCCTGTTTTATACGTCGAATTTTGGTCGCGTCGAATGCAATTCAAACAAAAGATAATGAAGCTTAATTAGGTTTATCATCTCATTATCTATTGTCTTAATTACATTCGACGCGACCAAAATTCGACGTATAAAACAGGCCTCAGCCTCAGTACCTTCATGCATAAATGGATATATATAAACGGTTCCTAAAATCTTAAAAATAATCTTCAACTCAAGCTAAATTATATTTATACTGGATTGCTCTATCATTTTTTTGCTTATAGATAAAGTCGATGTAACACAATAATATTTGGATTTATATGCACAATAATATTTGGATTTATTTACATAAAATGCGCTCTGGACTTTTATTGATCGTATGTGCGACTATGATGGCTTTTGCGGCTTTAGAATTTTGGTCTGTCTGATGCTTCTTGCCTGTGGGATTGAACGGGAAATATGTAAAACTGAGCAAAGACGGGCCCCAAATACTTGGGGAGATGATGAATGGACAAGGGACTTTACAACTGAGAGAATAATATATAATTCTCGCGAAATTCTATTGTACTGCAGCCTTAAACCTAGCATTGTCCACAGCCATATAGGAGCTTTTTTTAAAGTGGTTTTGAAAAACAGTCCTCGCAAATTCGTTGCGGAAGTTTCAGTTTATGTGACGTTTTGGAAAGCTCCGTTTTCGCTGTATATATCATTCCCTTTCCTTCGAAGAGAAAACTTCTGTCGAAAGTAAAATCACTGCCAGGCGCGCATTTTATGCAAATAACCCAAATATTATACGACGCTATATGTACACATTGCGCGATAAACATTTGAGTGTGCCCGTAGTAATGAAAAATAGCAAGCTGTGAGTTTAAAAACACAGAGATATGAAAACATCATTGGACGTGTTGAAAGTTATTTGATAAGCTACCTATTTCAAGCAGAGTCTGTGTTTTTATTTCCCCTATCTTGATATGGTAGGAATTTTTAAGAGTTTGATTTGAATTCCGATTAGGTATAAAGATCTACAAACATTCATATTTCCATATTGATTATAAAATACGGGCGGCCGGGGGGGTGGGTGTATACTTGGTGTAGGCAGCCATTTCAAATAAGGCTCATGATGACTTCATGTCGCACAGAATTGAAAACATTTTCCATTCTCAATAAGAAATTGAATGAAATTAAATAGGGTTGTAATGTAGCATGTCGGGTAGGATTTACTTTAGGATTTTATTTGTCCTATTCTCTAGCTAAGCCTTCAATTGTTATAATTGTAAAATTAGCAATAAAAAAAGAAAATAGTCCATTTTTATTTTATTTCAATCAAAATTTACCATCATTTTTATAACAGAAATAGAACTGAAGACTGCGAACGAAAATTGCCAATGAATTTTCAAGACAACCGTTTGTCATTGTAAGCAAATTTGAGTCACGCGCTCTCACCGAAAAATTAAGCGCAGCAGAAAAATCACAATGCTCAACAGTTTTCTTATATTAATTAGATACAGCGCTCGGGCTTGCGAGTTGGATTCGCAATGAGCAGAAAAGACCTTGAGTTTTATAAGACAATGGTATGGCTGCCATGTTGTAAAGGTTCCTCTAATGCCTGGTTCACATGCATATATCTGCGGTATGTCGGCGGACTATTGTCGTTAGCAGTTCAACCAAATAATTCACAAAAGAATGTATGCATCAACAGCTGTAAACAATGAATGCGCAGGCATCTGCAGGTATATACAACCAGGCTAAACATGGGCGCCATGAAGAATACGATGTTGACATGCTGCGAGAATGTTTGTTCAACAAATATTTTATTAACTGACTATACTATAGATCCGGAATCGCGTTCAGAGAAGAAAAACGTTTCAATTCCGGATTCCCAGTCAATAAAAAATTGATAGGCCTTCCCGAGCAGACACGGAAAAGTCTGGAAAAAATGTTTGAATGCAGACAATAGGCTTGAGTAAACCTTTTATGCATATATGTTGACATTTGGCAAATACGAAAGAAGCGCGCAGCCATTTATGACCAGGAACGGGTGATTGTGCCTGCACAAATTTGAGCAAAGAAGAGATAGCTCGTCAGTTCATTCATCTCTCAGCAGAATAACGATAATAATATTTACATATTTTACCAGGGTAATCTCGTCAGCAAACGCTGTTATCATGCAAGGAGCGCCCTGGACAATATAAATAAATATAGCAACAAAGAAATTAAATATCTAAGATATTATTATAAACCGTGCCTCTCAGTTTTGACTTAAAAACCAACAAGGAGTTGTACCTTCCTTGTAAGATGCGAAGGTAAATTCAGTATATGCTACTGCTCCCGAGTAACAACAGCTTTTCGTATAGACTTGGCTGATTCAGTCATGACTTTTGGAAGGACTAGGTCAAGACCATTACGTCCAGTAATAGTATTATGACTATGAGATAACTTTGTGAAATGACCTCTAAAAAATCTGGTTCAATGCAATTAATGCACTTAAGCACGAATATAACGTGCATAATACAACAAGCCTGAGCGAGTTCCAACTTGGCTGAGAGCCTGAGACAATAAATTATCATGACCTAGATTATTCTCTTTCAAAACTATTATTCTAGCAGCTCTTGTCTGTGAAGATTCTGTAATATGCGGCAAAACAGACTGATAATCCATCAAGTCCAAATCTGTTTATGTGCGTAGCTTCGTTTAATGGCATCATCTATGTATATTAGTATGTATATATCAGTACTACGTTGTGTGATAAATATCAAGATTTTGGGCAGAAGGGTTTTGCGGATTTTCGAGCGGAACAATGATTTTTTTACTTAACCAGGAGCAGTTGCAACTATAGAGTATAGCCCCTCTGCCAGGAATTAAACCTGCGGCCCTGTCGAGTTCTAACAACAATTTTAAAAAAATAATTGTATATTATCTTCCGTTGAAAATTTCCATAAATAAGAACCCTTCAACAGCTATCGAGCGAGATGGCCAAATATCTCGATATACTATCTCATTGCTCCGGTATTTTGAAGGAAGAAACCGGCCGATTGCCAACATTTAAGAAAATACGAATACAGCTGTAAAAATAATCAGGCGCGCGAGACGCTTCAAACCGCAAAATAAGTGCTTATTTGTACTATCGCGGTGACCAAATGCGCAAAACCAAATAACAGACGTCGTTGAAGAGATGTTTGTACCTTTATTACTTCCGATCAACTTGATCGTATACCTGTATCAATTGCATGTAAGGCTATCAAAATATCTCCGCTAGCACAGCTCACAGGAAACTGTACAAATTTACACATGTTTTCACTTGAGTAATAATCTTTTGGCAATTTTGCGCAACATTTTGCGCGACGATGTACGATAAAATGTTTTCGTATGTATGCGCCAAACAATGTGACAGTGCGTCTTATGGTAATTAGACCGGTGCTTGTACGTGACTAATGGTACAAATGTACAACTTTCGCAGTTTTAGACGAGTTTCGAGCAAGTTTCAGTCCAGAGATTTGTCTAGTTATTATTTCAGACTGAATATTTTAGGACCATTCAGTAATTAATGTTTAAACGGTGGTCGTAAAACGATTGCATTTTAGGGACGGGCCATACATTATTTTTTTGGAAGGGCATTCATTAAAATTTTTTCAACACAAGCGATATTTTCGTCTGTTGTTTATATTTTCATTCGAGTTTGTATATTGTGTGAGCGTGTCTGTCCGCGCTATGACTTGAAAAATATCGAACGTATTAATACAAAAATTTCTGTGTTAATAAACAAATGGACATAGCCCAAGGATAAATTGATTAAATTTCGGTGGAATTTGGATTAATTGGGTGGCAACCTTTTTAGAACAGGGATAGTAAGCAGTGAAAATGAAACTTTCTCTAACTATAGTTGTATAAGTATATAATCATTATAAATCGATTTACAGTTAAATATTTGAAAAATTATTTTCACATCGCATAGATTTTTCACGTTATTTATAAAATAGTACCCAAAAATGGCGGATTTAGGGACCGTTCATTATTTATACCTGAGGTTGGTACCGAAGAGAAGCGAGAAACACTGTAAATCTTTCATTTACCCAACCTCAACAATGGTCAAAATAATGTTTACCCAACCCATGTGTTACTCTACTTCATAATAATTAAACACACAAGATTATGGTTACAGAAATGAAGTTGCTTAAATTCTAAAAGCTCATAAACTCACTGAGTGTGAAAAAGCAATCACGTTTCCGCTGATCTATGATAGAGTCCTTCCTCAATCAGTGATGGTCTATTTTTGTACAGAACGTATTGTACACATTTTTTCTTTATATTTTCCAATGCATGGTAATTTTTTTACCCAACCCATGAGCTAGTCAAAAACCTGATTACCCAACCCATATCTCTTCGGTACCAACCCCTGGTATAAATAATGAACTGTCCCTTAGACCTTCGTGTCAGAAAGGCTAATTAGCCATTGTATAAATATTTATTAACAAGCTTTCGTTGTTAGGCATGTAATTTCCTGAAAAATATAAGGAGAATTTCGACGTTTCTAGCGAAGACAAGATTATAAATATTTATGCATGATACAATACATAACTTAATTCGCTGGCAGAGTCAGAGCCGACTGCCAGAGGTTGTCTTCGAGTTGTCTTTGGAAATAAGTTTTTTGGCGGCGGCGACTTCTTCCTGCTTTATAGGATTTTTTTCTTTCCAGCTAATAACAGCTTATATTAACTTTGCAGATTATTTTTTTCCGCAATGTTTAAATAGTTTGTGCAAGGATTTTTCATCTTCTACCCTTCAAAAAAAATCATTATCCGTCTTTTATCCAACCGATATACGACCTATAATGCTATCTTTATACTAGATAGCTCTATCACTTCCAAACCGTTCTTTCTAGAGGTCCAGTATAAAGGGTCATCGTTTATTGTTCCAGTGTAATCGATACAGGAAGAAGAATCCAGAATCGAATACCTCATGCAGATCGCTTCGAGAGTCTCCCACGGGTTTCAAGGGAAAAAGGCATATTTTGCAATGGGAATAAAGCCAGAAAGGTCATGAGGGACATGGGAACATATAAACTTGAAAATAAAGATTAAAAAAGGGAACAGGGTAAAATTTTTGTGCGAACTGACGAAGGGAAAATTTCCAAGGGACTGCAATTTTTCTATGTCGTGTACTAGCTTGCGATGAAAAGTGTTCAAAACCTAAAATTAGTAAAAACCTTTTTGGCCATAAATGCATAATTGCCTCTAAAAAGTACTTTGTTTTAATTTTATTATCTAGTTTATACAGTTAGCTACCTTTTTGAACGCATCCGCGCCAATTGAGAAACACAAAATTATAATTTATAGTATATTAAAAATTACTTTTCTCACAAAATACAATTATATGTTAACACCTAATATAACACCAAACCATTTTTTTCATTTCCGTTTTTTAATCGGATCAGCTCAGCAGGAAGACCTCAACGATATTGAAAACGCTGCGCTTTGTAATGCATTGTATATGGCGACATCTTTTCACGTGCAGTATTTAGACATGCGAGGCGATGAAAGAATTTTTTGGCTCTAAACGAGATTAGCCGTGGGAAATAGCAAAAACATTACATACTAGTTTATAATAATAAAAACTCATTAATAATTCATGAGGAAAAGTCGAGAAGACGAAGGAAATCACTACCGGTGGTTTTGTATGTGATAAAAAAATCATGTTAATTTACATAAACTTTATAGCTTTCATTTTCTCGCCTTAAACAACGTTGATTTTTAAAATTACTTCGCCAATAAACTCATCAGATGGGTCGTTTTTTAAGCCATTTAAAACACTCGCAGCTTCTGCCTCGTGCTAATATCTGATAAACACTCCTGCTCGTATTTTATATATTACATAAAACGAGATAATAAATATATTATTTTTGAGTTATTTTTGTCGTGCGTTAAAACTGTGTAAAATTAAGCTGTTGTCGAATTGGCATGCAGATTTTAGTATGCAACTTTGCACGGTTTCACAGAAAAGAAAGTCGTACTTTCAAGGAAATACTTAATGGACCGTAGCCTCCATTATTAACACGTGAAAATATGCAACCTTTCTGTGTTTTTTATAAAAATGAAGGTCATTTTCAAGAAAAAGTGGACCGTATAATTGCCAAAAATGTTTTGAAGTATGGAGCATTGGAGGTCACGCGAGAGATAAAGTTCGGTTTCATCGTTTCATTTTGTGAAGGTTGGGTTTCGCACTTTCGCTATTAGCTAAGTTTAATAATTTGCCTTGAAAAGTATAGTGGAACGGCAGTATTTTACAGGGTGAGAAAATAATGTTCGGATTCTTTTCAATTCAAATCGTAGCCTAAATAAGCCTTGTGTTTGGAAAATGAATAGACCGGACCGGTTTAGACGGCGAAATTTTCATGCGCCGAAATCGAATCTCTATAATCAAATTAAACTATCATGGCGCAATTTCGGCTGCCAAAATACAAGTGCACTATATCAGAAATTTCAATGTTAAATTGCTAATATGCCATAATAAATTGCTAATATGCCATAATCATATGATAATGTACGTTAAAAAAAATGCATTAAGCATGGAGTCTAGAAATCCATGTCGAACATGTGTCGCATAGTACGACATGACTGGCCGTATTTCGTCGGCCGTGTTGAACCTGATCAAAGCATGCCGAACTAAATTGATTTAGACGCTGCTCTTCTGTCCTACTTAATCGTTGTATTAGCTTCGGCTCATGAAGTTATGTAGGGCCTGAGTTTATATGTAGCTTTCCTTGCTCCTGTAACTGTCAACAGTTATCGCTTATCGAGGTCCACTTGTTGATGTACGCAATGTAAATATATAAATCATAAATGAAACCAACTAACCTTTTTCAACGGTAGATCTCTGACAGGTACAGTTTCATCCATACTGTCTGGTCGGGCATTATCACAGCTTTGTTCTTTCATTCCCCATTTCTCTTGAAGAGATTTCTCGTGCTCACAATAATTTAGATCTTGAACGTGCGCTTCATTCGAGACTCTCTCACCCTCGTACATCGTTTGTTGTCCTTTATAAAGCTTTTTCTGAAGTTCCGCAACTTTCTCGCGAAGGACGTCGTTCATATCTAGGCTCATGGGACGATTTAGGACTGTGGTGCCTCTGTCAGAATTGTCGGGCTTTGTTTCGTTTAGTCTTGTTGGTTGTTGCATGTTTGGGGAGTTAGCTGTTAGTGGAAAATGGAGAACGTTTTAGAAAATGAATAGAATGAAAGTGAATGAAATAGAATATAATGATAGAACAGTTTCATCTTTCACCTCATGAAAAATGTTACGATTGCCCTCATAAATCTTCATTATTTTGTATACTACATTCAAAATTAAATCTCACATCCTGTAGCTCTGCCAACAAGCCGTCAACAAGTTGTGTTCACCAAGCTGTTGACAACTTGTAACAACCTTGTTGATATTATCAGACTTGTTGCAAGGTTGTTCCAACAAAAGTCCGATACAGTCATGGTATAACAATATTGTCACAACCTTGTGTCGTCAACCTTGTGACATTATTGTTTAATCATGACTGTATCAAACTTGCTAGAACAACCTTGCAACAAGTCTGATAATGCCATCAAGCTTGTTACAGGTTGTTAACAGCTTGTTCCAAACTTGTTACAACAACTGGGAACAAGCAGTGCGAACACAACTTGTTGACAATTTGTGAACAGATTTGTAACAACTTGTTTGCAGACCTGTAACAACTTGTGTGTTTTTACATGTGTAGTCTATTCCATTCTGTTCTGTTCTGTTCTGTTCTGTTCTGTTCTGCTCTGCTCTGCTCTGTTCTGTTCTGTTCTGTTCTGCTCTGCTCTGCTCTGTTCTGTTCTGTCCTGTCCTGTCCTGTCCTGTCCTGTCCTGTTCTGTTCTGTTCTGTTCTGTTCTGTTCTGTTCTGTTCTGTTCTGTTCTGTTCTGTTCTGTTCTGTTCTGTCCTGTCCTGTTCTGTTCTGTCCTGTTCTGTTCTGTTCTGTTCTGTTCTGTTCTGTTCTGTCCTGTCCTGTCCTGTACAAAACTGACTAAAAAACGAACAACCCAAATCTCATCATCACCTTTATTGATTTTCGTAGTATAACTTGCGTCCACTTCGCCCAAATCAGACAAACCCTCTTTGGGGACTCTCTCAACACTTAATTGCCATTTCGCTGGAGATTTGATCATAGCCTGCTTCAATTTTTCTTCAAGTACTTGCCGTTTTGCCTCGGATATCTCGCGTTGTTTGTCAAGCTCTTCGTTTTTCCTATAACTCAAGTCCAATTTCTCTTGCATTTCGACAATTTTCATTTGTAAAACGTACGACGACTTCTGATCTTGCCTTTGTAAATTTTCAGACTGCGACAAATTCTCTTCTAGGCTTCGTTTCTCTCTTTCCAATATGTTCAATCTATATATAAAGTTATATATTACAACTTATAGTAGATGAAATTTTTGTGACGAAAGATTATACAAAATTTTACTTCATGCCCTCAGGCAGCAGCGCTCTGACCACTGAGATATAATTGTCGGTTGCGGAGAGTCCGTTTAGAGAGTTTGAGCAAGACAACGAAGTACGAAGACGAAGGCATACTTGACAATTTTTGCCGTCTGCACATTATCTTGCATATACTGAGTTGGACGTCACTGATGGTTGCTCAACGTGTCTTCCCATGTGTCGCTGCTTATGATACTGACCATAATTCTTGTCCTTATCCAGAAAAAAACCCAGCGAGACATGAAACTATATCCCGTCTTTCAGTCTTTGTCCTTCTGCCTTCGTGCAGAACGAAGTTCACAACGAATTTTGCCAAAATATTCGTTGTGAACGAAGGCAGAAGAACGAAGACGGGATACGGATTTATGTCTCGCTGTTTTATCCTGATCAGGGTAAGGGATTTGAGTCAGCATTCAGAAACAGCTAGACATGAATCTTTAATCTGTCTTCACTCCTGACCCTAAACTCAGAATGCGCAACACAATGTGCAAAACAGGCAAAAATTGTCAATCACGCCGTCGTCGTCCGACTTCGTTCGCTTGCTCAAACCCTGAGTAACTCTCTAACAACATGGACTACAAGAAACGGGAGTGCTTTATCAGGCAACAGCTGAGTGTCTTGCTAATAAAAAACGACCCATCTTATGAGGTCATAACGACGTAATTCAATTAAAAAAATAAACATTGTCTAAGCCGAGAAAATCGAAGCTAAAGTTCATGTAAATTAACATGACTTTTTATACCACATATACATAACCACCGAAACACGGTAGTGATTTCTTTATGAATTATCAATGAGGGCATTTTTAAAGAAAATATATAATATAACTTTGTTGGGGCATGTGAACTGTGTCGGTTAGTGGAGAGTCGGTATTGGAGAGGTGTCTGTATTTGAGAGGGTCATTATTATAGATCCAATATAATGAATTCAGAGATCTCACTGGATTTAGCAGATGGAAATTCAAGTTAAACAGATATAACGAAAAGCAGCTGCTAAAAATGCAAACCATAGGCACTCGTCAGGTGTGAAAATGTTGAAATTTAAATCTTCAATTTAAACCTTCAATCATTATTATCGAGGCCATTTCAGAGAAACTATGAGATTACTGTATATACTGCACTCGTTGGTTTGGGCTCGTTTGCACACGAAAGTTCGGCACATTAAAACTTCGAGGTTTGACAAATTATTTTAAAATTTTTTTTTACAACCATACAATGGGCATTTAGGGTGTAAATTTTATACATTTATCAGACTTAACCGGGAGCATTTGCGAAAAATACTACTATAGGTCCTCTGGTAGGAGTCGAACCTGCAATTCCACTGCAGCGCTCTAGATAACCAACTGAGCTACAGAGTCCAGTTGTGCTCTGTCCAAGCTCTGACCGCAAGTTCAACTATACATACTAAAGGCTGGTCTATGCCATCAACGTTTCTGTGATCACAGTAGGAATGTTGCATGGGTGAATTCTAAGTTTTGAAGGATTTGTAAAGCCCTGGGAAAACTAGGAAACGTTGTTGTGGAAACATTCGTGATTCTCGATGTTTCCTCAATTTCTCAAATGTTTCCCTGTTTGCCCACCCGTGGAAACATTGTTGCGGAAACAAAATTTGCTTCCCGAGAAGCAAAAATGTTTCCTAGCAAATTCAGAAACATTTGATGTTTCCCTATGTTTCTCACTAATGTTTCCAAGTGTTTGCCCACTCATGGAAACACGGCGAAACATTGGTAGGAAACAATGTTTCCGCAACAATGTTTCCTAGTTTGCCCAGGGCTTTACAAATCCCTCAAATCCTGAAATTTACCCATACAACCGAATACCGGAAAAATAATTTAATATTTTTAATATAATCTACAAACCTACCTGGTTTGATGAAGTTGTAGATCGCGTTTTAATTCCAAAACTTGCTCGCACATTTTTGCATGTAGCTCATTCTCGCTGTTCCGTTGATTTTCCAAATCTAGCTTCTGTTTTGCGACGCGTGACTTCACTTTGTCCATGTCACGCAATTTCGTTTCTTTAGCACGCAAGGCGCCTTGCAGTTCTGCGATCTGTTTCTCGTAATGCTGTTTCAACCACTGGTTTTGACTCTTCCCGTCCTTTTCCGCTTCTCGGACGCGTTCATCGCTTTTTGTTAATTTCGTTTCGAGATCGTTGGTCTGCGCTCTCAAAATATCAATGCACTCCTTGTCGTTTTTGCGCAGGTCTTCGAGCAGACGTACCTTTTCCTGCGCCGTCTTGTTCGCCTCCTCGAGCTGCTCGATTTGTCGTACGCAATTCTCGAGAGTTTTTTCCAAAGTGAATATTTTCGTCGCGTCCCCCGGTTGCCGTTCCGATTTTATTTGTTTATTTTCGCATTCCAAGCGCTCAATGATGCGTTCCTGCGATCTTATCTTCTCGTCCTTGCTGTCAATTACTGATTGCATCGGGCCGTTTATCAGCGAAAGCATAACCTCCAGACCCAGATGATTATTCCCGGCTAGGACGCTTGCTCCATCTTGGGTGTTATTATTATTGTTCAATCCCCTCATCAAATCAGGCATGCTCGACATTCCCTTGGAACTTTTAAGGGACTTTACATCACCACGACACTCTAGACAAGTGCCAGCAGTATTAGACGAACTTTCAAACGTGTCTGAACATTCGCTATCCGTTCCTGAGCTAGTGCACGACTCGTTGGCACGATAATCTGCATAACGCACGTTCCCGCACGACGTTGAACGGGTCAGAAACCTTTGTCCGTTTTGCTTCTGACCAGCAACACTTCGGCTTCGAGTTTTCAAACCCTTTTTCCCACGATATCCGAGTTCCTTTCCCGCAGCGTGAAGCCGTTCGCCCGCTTGGGATTCGCATGAACAGTTTGCGCAATTTATACAGGATTCCTGCGCGGAATTTATGCACGATTCTTGCGCGTCGCTAGAATACAAATCCGACGCGCTTCTCGTAGAATAATCCGACGCATTTCTCGCTTCTTGTCTGGTGCTAGGTATACACTCTTGACGCATTATCTCGGCGCAATTATTCGCGTACGAATACCTTCGCTCACTTGAATTGCGTCTCAGGCTAACGTGATGATTGTTTGACGTTTTCGTGAGCTTACATTGCCGACAATTAACGTGTGTGTACTTTCCCATTCTGTATAACCGTGTCGATGTCTCCTCCATCGGCTAGCCACGGCTAACCGACGTCGTTCTATAATATAAAACCAAAATGGCTTTCTAAAGAACTCCACAAATTCCGACACAGTAACACACAGAATTTTAACCACAGGTCGTCTCACAATTGCATTCTCTGCGCTTTGACCGAACTGCGCGCTTGTCTCTTGGCAATTGACGCCTGTTGAACAACTCTGCTATTGTAAATACTTTGTTTCGTTTGGTAATTGCATTAGCATTTGATGCGCACGATAGTTGCACGATGCGCACGATTTGATTGGTTCAAATCCGACACGTGATCATTCCCGAGGCGAAGTGCGCAATCTGATAGGCCAGACAGCAAACAATTTCGCAGCGTAGGTTAAGAATGCATTCGGTTTTATTTTGACAGTTCGCTGATGTTTTTAATAAACGCCCAATCGGCAAAGGATTATAAACCCACCCATAACCCGCCTCGCCTTCACATTTTACCACCTTTCAGCCCGCTTTGCGTCTGCCAGCCCGCACCCATTTCCGAGGCGTGTAACAAAGCAAGAATGGGTTTTTAATTGATTTCAAAACGCGGTCTTTCGGTATGTATTAGGATTCAACTTGCCCTTTTCTGGATACGTTTGAGGTGGTCCTATGTGCTGTCATCGCTCGGTTGTTGAACTCTTCAAAATGCCTGTTACACTTCACTGTGACGATAGACGATGGTTGTACAGGGCTGAAATGACGGGACTATAGACTCTGGACTCACTAAGCCTGGATGCAACAAGAATGCATGAGAACTCAGTGGTAGTCATCACGCGACCGGCTTGGTTAGCTGTTCTTAATGCTTTCCCAACACTATCATGTATTCTATTTTGTATTTCAAGTCAAAACGTAGTTGTAACACTTTATCAAACCATTGTTTTGTTAAGAGGACAATATCTTTTGTATGTTAAGGCCCTGTCACACTATTGCGTATGAGACGTATGAGAAGCATATGAAAATCGGAAATAATTTTCATACGCACAAAAATCCTGTGAAATGCCAGCGTACGTATGAGTACCGTACATCTGGCGTAGCTCTAGCGTATTCAGCGTGTGCCTAGAATATGCTTATCGTATAAAGCCAGGGATACGTCCGAATACGCACAAAATTTCTGAACCTGCTTAAAAAAACATTTCTGCCTCGCCGTATACCAGCGTACGTATGCGACCGTGCTTGAAACGTATACAACCTATGCCTAACGTACCCCTAGCGTATGTCAGCGTTTTCCAGCGTATGAATGATATTTATTATTTCATACGTTTCTCAAGCGGCAAACAAAGTTAAAAGTCTGTTTAGTGTTTTATCTGTAAAATTATGCTAAAATGAAGAGATATTAGATGGTACGCCAAAGCCGGCGGAGAAAATGATGTCTGAAGTTCAGTATAAGTTTTGCTTATATTGCTGTATAAAAATGGCGTCAATTTTACAGCATTACTTATAATTATATTTAAATTGACAGTATTTAACTATTATTTTGTGTTTCCCAACCGCCAGATTCATTTAGAAAGGGCAGGAACGCCAAAAAGATTTTATGAGTTTTGAACCGTTCTCGTCGCAAATGGCGACATTGAAAAAAAAATTGCCTCGCAATCTAAGAGCTTGAGATGTCAGTCCCGACTGACAATGGCCCCTGGTCCGTACAGTGTGCTATCCCCGGTCCGACCTTGACAATGAATCAGCCCACTCGTTCTTATTGGATATCTGGGAAGACCAGCTTAGGATTGAAGCATTGTAATTCATTGGCATTAAAACTGAAAGTGCTTCAGAAGGGTTGAAGTGGGTTTTTAAAGGTTTGATGAACTGACAAAGACTTTTAAAATGTGGCAATCAATCAAACTATATAGACCTTGACTCCGAATTAAGATTTGCTCTTGGAAAACAGTGCGCTGAAAGAAATGTAACTTGACCAGAGTGAAGAATGACTGATGAATACCGAGTTCTGTCACAGGAATTAAAAACAATTGCTTACTTAGAGAACGCTAATGGTTTTTATTGCAAATATTTTGTTGAACATCAGTTATATATTTGGTGTAAAACTCTAACCTCGTCAACACGTATCGATCACGTCAAACTAAAGCCATTTGTTCATTACATTTTCCAATCCATGTTTACTGCGGATGCAGTATCCGTTGGAAGCAATTGTATTGGGGGCAACCAGAGGGATCCGGGGGCATGCTTCCCCGGCCTCGGAGGAGCATTTTCCATGTTTCCTGGGAGGAAACAACTTCATTCCCCTTGTTTTGGAACAGCGTCTGAATGAATTGGTTTTGTTCCTATTCAGATACAATATCAATGTAACAACAAACTGTTACTTACTGTTACGGATAATATCAGTTTATTGTAATTGTCTGGGCAAGAAAAAATCAAGTATGAAAAGAAATAGAATCCTCATGGGTGAAGAAATTATTGGGGGGGGGGGGGCATGGCCCTGCCGAATGCCCTATTTAGGATTACTAGTGACAGAAGCAAAGCGACCAAATAACTACAAGTATAAATTTCAATGCATCACTAGTTGTATTTTGATAATGGTCAGGTATTTTTCACAGTATTCAATATACCTCGTGTTAAAGTATTTATTATCCATGTCTTTAAACCGGCGACGATATTAAAATATCGACAAGAAACGTTGTTGAATATCAGCAAGCGATCAACAAGTGTTCATAAACGATCACAAGAACAGACCTGACCAGCCATCACACCACCGACGTCCTTCAATTAACCACTTCCCAATCGAGCAGAGGTGACTGGGTCTGGTGGCACGTTTGGAGGGACAAAAAATAAACAATATGCCGATAGGAAGTTTTCCTACATTCCTAAAGTTATTTGTGCAGCCTGAAAGGCAACAATTATAATAAGGCATCTTTTAATATACATTTAGTTCGCTCACAATAACTTGTTGTCCCTCCAAACATCAACTAAGGGTCTTAGCTAGGATTTTAGATCTTGGGCGTGTTTCTAATGACCAGGGTGTGCACATGCCAATTACCTTGAATAGCCAAATCACGGTTCTAGTTATGCTTGCCAACAATAGACAATGCCTGTGGTTGTTCTGTGCTTTGCAACTAAATACAAGGCGAGCATATGCTGATATTGCGCACTGACATTAGAATATTACGTTATTTCAGCAACTCTTGGGAGTATTTAAAACCATTTTAACACCATACAGTTCCCATTATCCATCAAAACATTAAATTTCAACAACAACAACAGATTTTACAAACCCTTTTAAGACATAAATTACTAAATTGGAAGAAATTCTGTCTGTTGTAAGTACTGTAGCACCACCTTATTTTATGAACCAACACGGCCTTATATGAATAATGAAACCGCGTTCATTTTATCTAGCCGTGTTTTTCCACTTTTGGCCGCGATAACACGACCAACACGGCCCTCTAGCTAAGACCCTGCATCAACTAGACCCAGTCCTCTGCTCGATTGGGAAATGGCTAATAGATTGTACAACTCACATTCCTAGTGACTATTTTTCTTGTTTACAGAAGCATAGAAGGGAACAAAGGTAACTACGGCTTTAGAATTATCTACATATGTGAGTATCACCCAAGGCTCATTTCCACTCAAGAAAAATTTCCACGGCCAGAAAATTTTCCGAAAATATCATTGTTAAAAGTTGAAAATTTTCAACTTCAAAATTTTTTTCCGACCGAAAATTTGTGTCGGCCAACCACATTTTACAAAATTTTCTTCCTGCCGAAAATTTTCCTGAGTGGAAATGGGCATGTGAGTTATGTAAAGTTGTGAATATAGGGAGCTTAAGATACACCAAATCTACGACGCGGACGAGACAGTTTCACTTCACGGGTAAAAATTACGGATTGTTGTTGGTAAACAAAGCCAAGGACACGAGAAAAACAAAGTAAAACTAGTCTCCAATTCAATTAGCGACTGTTTTTTAGTCGCGTCCGTGTCGCAGATTTGGTTAGATATAAACAACTCGTTAGCCATTGGGGTGTAAATGCAATAAACAGCAAAGTCTATTCACTGGGCTTTTGCCTGTTAGGTCTTATATGAAGGTAGTTTCACGTTGTACTTTATTCCACACAGTAATTATTGCGGAACATTGCTAGGTGCTGTCAACTGAAGAGAATCAAGAATATTTCCTATGCTCGATATGTTGCCATCGTCACCATCATCCTTCTTGGTTGCTGCCTTTTGGAAGAAAAACAACCGAGTCTGAATTATTTTTATCAACTGAGGCCTTAAACACAAGGACATTCGCCAGTGTGACTGGAGCTTTGGTCGCCCAATAGACAATTCCCATTATATAGGCTAATTTTTTATCTTGGCAAAAAATTATTCCCGGAAAAAGCATACTAAAATTAGTAAACTTGCAAAGTTTGGTTGAGAAATGTTGTAAAATGCGGAAAATATAGCCTTGCAAAGTTTGCAAATTTTGTATACTTTTGTATTGCGTGCGGAAATTGCTACCACTAGCTCTTGGACCGAGAATGGTAGCAATTTCCGCACGCAATACAAAAGAATACAAAATTTGCAAGGCTATATTCACCGCATTTTACAACATTTCGCAACCAAACTTTGCAATTTTACTCATTTTAGTATGCCCTTTCTAGCTGTTGTGATTTATTCGCATCTCCTTGCCTAGTTTTAAAATTAATCTATAATGGAATTGTCTATTGTGAGAACAATTAGTGCCTTTCTCCTCTGAGACCCTTGCCCCCCTGGACTTGCGCCATTTGTAGTATTTCCAGGGGGGGGGCTGCTGCTTCTGTTTACGGTACTTGCTGAGTGAAGAATCATGACGAATAGAGCTTACGCAAAAAACAATGGAGATGGACTTCTGTGTAGTATTCTGTGGCTGGGGTTTAATTCCTGCAATATCCAGTTGTCTGATTATAATTTCACCTCGGTCACATGTGAGAAGAGTCCTTCCGGTTTGACTCTAACAGAAACGGTAGGTATATTCTCCAGTTTCTCTCTGCAGTAACACTGGACCAACATGAAGAATAAATAAAACTACTCAGTTCAGTTTAGGTTTCCTCCTGCAGTACCACTTTTGAAGCGAAACAATTCACATAGTTTAATCATCTTTACCTGATATTTTTCCATAATTCTGCTGGCTGCCCACGATGCATATTTCATATTTTCTTTCTTGTTTTTAGTCTTGGGCATATTAGCCAAATTTGATGCAGCCTGTATAAAAAATAATTTATCGACATCACAGTCAGTGGTGTACTTTATCGCTTGCCCAGGACCAGTAAACATCATTATCTTTTTATTAGTTTTATTTCAATTTATTTCATTTTATGCTAAGATTGGAATGGTGATTATAAATCAATCCTTATATACCTACCATGAAAAAGCCATAGAGGGCTCGCATGTTGTTGTTGTCGAGTCGTAAAGCCTGTGCGAAGTTACTCCGCGATTTTTCTAAGTTATCAACAGTGCCCATTGTGTATAATATCTGGGAAGAGGCAAAACACATTATCATTAAAATAAGATGGATTTCACTAAGTATCGTACGTTTAAACTTTCCACGCAGGTGTTTTTATGGTTAAATGTATTTAAATATTTCACCTCCGCGTATTTTTGGTAGTATAAATGATTATGTGGATTGGATATGATCAACTCTTCCATACAAAATGCTGCTTTGGTGAACCTGAATAAAAGAAAGCGATGTTATTTAATGCTTGTGTGATGTTACTCTGAGTGTATATTCACACCGGGCAGGCTTGAAAATATGCCTGGCCACGGTGGGAATCGAACCTACGACCATTGGAATACCAGCCCAATTGGGCTGGTATTCCATTGGGCTGGTATAGACCCATTGCACATGACGTCACAGCGCCGGTGACGATGCATCTGGAGGACAAATTAGCAATCTATGCATAATATAACTTTTGTAAACAAAGCAAAGTTTATAATAATTTTGTATTAAAATGGTTAATTTTTGCGCTATATGTGGTGGTTGTACCCGAACAGATATTAGGGAGCTTTAGATTTGACTACGAGTACGACTACGAGTACGAGATTCGTCAAGCGAAAACGCATGCTGTATGCTTACGCCATCCCGTACTGACGCGAAAAAGTCGTAGCCGTCGCCCATCTGAGAACGAACTTGCGGATAAATCTCGTAGTCCTCACGACGACTTTTCGGAAAAACAAAGAAAGTTGACTTTTTTTTGTTTTCCAAAAATAATTTCTAGCATTTATATAGCGTTTATCCGGCGCAAATAATATATTAATACTAAATATCTGGCCTGTTTTTAATGTTATGACTTATTTTCACGTTTTGTAGGGGATTTTAGTCTGCAGGAGATTTAGTTTATGAAACTTTTTCTCTCGTTGTTGGTTTACTGCTATAAAAACAACATTTGAGTGAAAACGAAAACGACTACGGTAATTTCCTAGCACGCGATCAAATCTCGTACTCGTAGTCGTACTCGTAGTCAAATCTAAAGCTCCGTATTGTTGGGGAGCATCTGGAGGACACTCTAAGTATTTGTGACGTCAGTGCAAAGGGTCTATTCCAATGGTCGTAGGTTCGATTCCCACCGTGGCCAGGCATATGTTCAAGCCTGCCCGGGTGTGGATATACACTCCGGCAGAGTAACATCACACAAGCATCTTATTCACCTGAGTACATTACACCAACACAGCAAATACGATGTTATTTAAGTCGACAAGCTTTCGTTGGCAGGGATGTATGAACTACCTAAAATTCTCCTTATATTTTTCAGGTAGTTGCATCCCCACCAACGAAAGCTTGTTCATATTATTGGCACTACCTACACTGACAATGGTACAGGTAGTTCAAGATTATATTTAAATCGGCAACTGGTAATAATCTATAAACTTTAAAAGATCTCGACTGGACTTAGCCTGCGAACAGGCTCTCAAGCTGAATTGAGAGCCTGCATCGATGACTAATGAATTTGAATATCTGCGTCTCAAATCGTGACGCGAAATTCTCATTGGTCAGATGCTATAATTTATATGTTTCCGCTGAGCTCTATATATGTTAACTGCTGAAGCACTATGCATAAAAAAAAAACACATTAACTGATCAAATTGGTCTTGGCCATCTTATCTCAAAGCACGAAATGTTCTGTTTTGAGAAAACAGTATTTAAAAAAATTGAACTTTTGCTTGAATATCTTATATTTCGAAAAACAGTATAAACTGTACGGTCTAAATTTAGTTTGCACGGTCTAAATTTAGTTTGCACGAAAGTTGTAAACAACACCATATTAGGATAGACATTCCATATTTGGAAAAACGAACGTTACAGGGCAGATATTCAAATTCATTAGTCACCGATGCAGGCTCTCAATTCAGCTTGAGAGCCTGTTTGCAGGCTAGACTGGACTATATTATCTGCTTCTAAGGCCTGTTTCATACGTCGCACTATCGTCGAATTTAATTTAGGTTTTAGACGAATTTAATAGGCAATTCCAGCTTTTAGTTTATGCGTACAGGGGACGATGGGAAGTAAGGTATCGTAATGCTGATTATGCTGAGAAAATAAAAATGGTGGCCGTGTAAACACGGAGTGATAGCTTATACTTGTAAATATTGAAATATTTCGGTTGTTTTTATTGACATTTTTCAGCATAATCGGCAATATGATACCTTACTTCCCATCATTCTCTGCAGGCATAAACTAAAAGCTGGAATTGCCTATTGAACGAATTAAATGCGACGGTAGTGCATCGTATGGAACAAATTAAATTCGTCCAAGACGTTTTATCCGTCATGACCAGACGGATACAACGTCTGTAGCGCGTCTTCGTTTCATATGACGTATTCGTCGTGTCGAATTAAATGCATAAATTATGTTAAAGTCTGTTTCTGTCTTTCTGATCCAGTGGTTTTTATTTCTGGGTAATCCATAATCGCTAATCATGAAATGAATTCGTCTGAATTAAATTCATCGTTTGAAACGAAACCATTTTAATGCCGACCAATTGACGAATTTAATGTAAACGAATTAAATTGGTCTGAATTAAATTCGACCTATGAAACAGGCCTAACACGTACTCGTTGACACCCAATTCACTCACGTGTACATAAGTTTTAACTTATAACAATATCATAACAGTGGCACAACTAGGCATGCGAGTTATCAAAAATGTGGCAACGATCATCCGTGTTAGCGAAGTAGGTATTTAACTTACTCTTGTTGAGATATATACAAGTCTGTTAGTTCACTCCACGCTTCGTGATCGCTCATAAATCTAAATTGAATTTTACATTTCTGATTTACTAGTTCAGTGAAATATACACAAATCATCTTTTTGTATATCATCAATTATTTTAACTTATGAGAACCTTTTGAGATAGTCTGTAAGAGATTTGACAGCTTCAGAAATTTTGTTTTGTCCAATCAATATACTGATCTTTCTTTTATATGGAGTCTATAAAACATAATACATTTAGTACAACATATAGATGATGTAATTGTGTTAGATTTAGCAGTGGTGTGTTGTGTACATACTGAATTAGATGGTTCTTTTGCTATCATGTCATCATAGATTTCTGTTGCCTTGTCAAACCTGAAATATATGACAATCAATGAAATCAATAAAAATTCTAATAAAACAATCAATAAATGGGATTAAATCCTTGAATCATTCTTAATCAATCAATATATTCAATTAATCCTAATCAGTAAATAAATACTAATCAATTTAATCAATAACAATCAATATACAATCTTAATCAATCAATATACTAATCAATTATAATTTATCATTCAATAACAATCAATATAATATCTTAATCAATTGATTAGTATTTATTAATACCAATCAATTATAATTAATCAATTAATCAATCTTGATCAATCAAAAGTAATCAATTATGATCAAACAAAAAATAATAATCAATCAAACATAATCAATTATAATCAATCAATTAATAATTATCAATCAATTGATCTTAATCAATCAAAAGTAATCAATTATAATCAATCGATAAATAATAATCAATTATGATCAATCAATTAATCTCAATCAATCAAAACTAATCAATTATAATCAATCAATAAATAATAATAAATTATAATCAATCAATTAATAATAATAAATTATAATCATCAATTAATCTTAATCAATCAAAACTAATCAATAACAATCAATGTCCAATCTTAATTAATCAATAAATAAATATCAATCAATCATTATTTATCAGTTAAATTGTTCTTTCAATCAATGACAACCAATAAAATTTTATAAACAATCATTGTTATTCATCAACTAACTGGTTAAGAGCTTCGTGTTTCATAGCTATCAATCGTTTAACCCTCAAACTGCCAGGAAACTGAGAACTCAAGGCTTTCAAACACATCTAAACAAAAAATCACAATCACTCATCATTTTACACAGTAATTAGTATAATACTTTGCCAGTAACTATAGCATGTCAAATTTCACGGCCACAATCTTGACTCTTGCTACAAACTTTCTTTTCCAACTTTAAACTTACACTCGCCAGATCAGTTTTTCCAAAATCCAAGGCTGCAATCAACACTTGCTCATACACACTCCACACTAAAAGTCACAATGATATACTGTACTTCAAAATTGTACTTGCAGTTTTCGTTAGAATATTTTGTCGGATAATAAATTATATATTCAGGAATAAGGATGTATTTATACTATTTAAGGAAACAAATTTAAGAAACAGGAGCACAATGAGTTAGAATGCTCGTTCTTTTACTATTTTCCAACAGTTGGGTACTTTAGCGTAATTACAGTCACAAGCGTCCGCCGCGTCCTGACTGTCGCTAAAAAAGCTCAATATTATCTCAAAAGAGTTACAAGGATAGTTTATATATAAAGCTTCGAATGAAAGCTTTCGTACACAACAGACTAGTCATATATTATTTACTACAAGCAGTGAAAGGCATGCATATCAAAGTCTGTACGACTACCAGTCTTTACAAATTACAAATGTACAATTCAAATCAGTCTCAAGGGACATACATTCATCCCCCAGTTTGCTGCCATGCTCGACAATGAGCGACTCTCCCAGCTCAATAACCTCCTCGCTATTCCTCGGGGGCTCATCTCGCCATTCTTTCATCTTATTTCTCGCTACTTCCAAATCTAATATTTCGTCCGCCATCTTGTTTTCTCAACATTAACATCCACCAAAAAGCGACAGCCGGAAAATCCCGTCGCTTCACCGGACCTGAATATTTCCAAACAAAATTTGCTCATTTTTCGGACGAAAAACAGCAAAGAGCTGAGAAAAATTACAAAGAAAAGCTTATATTTGCATTACTAGAGATGTGTTCTGATGCATGTAATATTTTAGAGAACTATTTTGCGAAAATGTCCGATTAAAGTTGTTTTTTGTCAGTAAGCATATCCCCCGAAATTTGTACGAGCATTTCCGACTACGCAGTTGGTGATATTGGTGCGTGGGGCCACATGTCTGTTAATAAGTACTGGAGAATTTTCTGGTTGGTGGGTAACTCAGCTTAGATGAACATTTTTGCAAGTTTGGAAAGGTATAGTATAAAGATCCGCGGTATGCATGTAATTTTAGACTTATAAATAGTCAAGGCCCAATGCTGGTAGCTTCCAACAGTATAAGCTACCTTGCTTTGTATCCCATATCCGAACTTCAACTACCTGAAATTTTTTGGTGTTTTGAGAGAAGGCTTTGCTAATCTCTTGAAGATGAACATTTGCTCAAAGCTGTAAAATGTTGTTAATCTCGTTCTGGTAGTTTATACGCAAACCACGGCAGCAATTAATTTGCAACAAACATGGTTATTGCTTATTCCAATATTGGTGCAAATTTTCGTTGGTAAATGGTAACTAATCTTGGAAGTCTAAATGATAATTAAGTTCAGTAAGACGCAACTTGCTGTTTTCCAAATATGCGTAACAGATGATATTTTTCGTCAAGATGAGAGCGTTGCGCAATAAAGATTAAAAAATTTGGGAGGACCAGATTTTGTTATAATGTCCTTAGTATAATACGTGTACTGTGTTTCTGGTTTCGTATCCTGAGAGGAATATACCCAAGCACAATAATTGGCTCAATTGCATGGTTAAAAATAAGCTTTATATATGGCTAGAAATATAGCAACACTATAATTGAGCTATTTAGCCTTGCTTTAAATTTCATATAAACATCATATAAACAGCAACTAAATGCAACACTGCGCCAAAATATATGTAAACAGAGTCTTCACATCATAAAATCCTACGATAAATTTCTTTAGGAATGCCTATGGAAAATTCTTCGGGAATTTTGGACTACTCGTTTGAGAATTCCTTTAGGAAATGCATTTTAAGTTGTGTGTACGTTTGAGAATTAGTTGGTAGCTCAAGCAATTGGCATATATTTTATTCATAGTTATTATTGATGTTTAGATTTTAAGTACTTTTAATATATTTTAGTATGTTTAGTATGTTTACCACTTGGACATTGTCCAATAAATTGATTTAAATGGATCCAAATTACTTGCTGTAGGAATTTTTTCTAAGGGTTAATTCACACAAAAATATTGTTTATTTACACATCAGATGCATTTTGCAATGTGAGGCGTTCTTCTAAACATGTCGGCAAGGAAAGCTAGTAAGAAAAAGATCCAATCAAGATCAGGCGTGGAAGAACCAAACTACCGAAAGTGCGCAAAATCAGGATGCCCTGCTGAACGACCTGAATGTTTTGCAGACGGTGTAGAAAGGTTGGTGTGATAGCCAGAATTATTACAGTTTAATTGTTACAATAGTTAACATGTTCTTATTAAGCTGAGAGATTATCAATATTCATTTACGAATGATTGTATTATATGAAAAATACATCCCTGACCTTTCACCCCACCCTCCTACAGTCCCCATCTACTTCCCATTTCACTTTTCTCCTCTTTCAATTTTAAAGCAACCCCTACCCAAACCTCCCTTCTTACCCCCAGCCCCCACCTTCTCACCAATATCTTTACCTCCCTCTCCTTAACCCCCCTTTCAGTGTTCTCCTCTCTTGTAATCTCCCCACCACCTTGCATTTTCACCCCACTCCCACACAGTTTCCATCCCCCTCCCCTTTCTTGCCTCGCTATTCATACCTTTCTTTCCAGTCTAAACCCCACCTCCTCATGATCTCCACTCTTCCATCTTACATTTTTTACTCCACCCCTTGCAGTCTCCAAATCCCCCCCCTTCCTGTCTCTCCCCTTGCAGTATCCACCCATCTTCCCTAGTTGTTACAGTACCCCCTTGCATTTTACCCCACACCTTGCAGTCCTTAAACCCTTCCTTTCCCGTCTAACTCCTACCCCCTCATTTTGCCCCACCCCTTGCAGTCTCCCAATTCCCCCCTTTCTGTCTCTCCCCTTTCAGTCTCAACCCATCTTCCCTAGTAGTTACCCCCTTGTATTTTACCCCACACCTTGCAGTCTTAAACCCTTCCTTTCCCATCTAACTCCTACCCCCTAATTTTTGCCCCACCCTTTTTTCGTCTCTAAAATTGTTTCATATCTCGTACATTCTCTATTATGTTTATTACACAGTTGTTGTGGGAATGGTTACACCTCACGATGGTACCACGTGTCAGACGGTGAACATTTCTGCAACGAATGCTTCGACCATTATTACAGAAGGTTTGTTACCAAATTGCCCCAAAGACGTAGCTGTTCAGTATAAAACATATGCATTATATTTTCATTCCTGGTAATGTACGTTTTCTATCTTGCTATGTTTTAAATGTTTCGGATTGGTTTGTGTTTCATTAACGATCGGTTATTCGATTTGATTTTCGTATTGATGTGTGTTTAATTAATAATTGCATGTTAAACGATTATTTAAAATCACCAAAACACGATAAAATAGCCCATAAAATGCTGAAAATGGCGCTCTACTGACTCTGGATTAATTAACGTTATAAATGCAATAAAATATGCAGCATGTAAGACGGGAACGCGACTGCGACGGAAAACAAACTCGTTGAACCAAATGATTGCAGAAGAAAACCTGTCGTCTATTATCCATCATATGAAAATAATACAGTTTAAGGATAAAAATGAACACAGGGTTTTTGATTGAGAAAAGTTCTAGGACAGGCCTTAAAATATCGGTCGGTCACGGACATTATCCGACCCATTCGTGAAATTGTCCGACGTAGAGAGGAAACCACCGGACATTCTGTCCGACCAAAGTGAAACTGAGGTTTATTGTTTGTCTGACCCAAGTGAATTGGTGTCCGATCGAACTGTAGCTTTGTCCGACGTAAATAAAAATGTACCCTATCCCACGACTAGAGGCTTGTATGTTAAACGGAAAATCAGAGTACTATTGTATAAAAGGTGAACTGGAAATGTTGTTTTAACGTAGTCGAGCGCGGGGCGGCGAGCGAAATGGTGAAGTGGAAAACGGGCTTAAGTTGTCGAAGTCTTTTTTTAACACTGCTGTTCTGGCAAGCAAGCTAATTTTGGCTTGGAAATAAGTATGAAAGAAACGAATTATTTAATATCTTTACAACATTTACCGATTATTCATTTGTGTCATTCAGACTTATTTCCGAGCCAAAACTGAACTGAAGGTCTTCGGACATATGTCCGACCCAAACTCAACGTCACCGGACATTTTGTCAGACGGCCCTCTAAAAGATATTTTAAGGCCTGCAGTAGGAACCCAATTTAAAATAGCTGTTGTCCCAGCTTGAGATGTGAGCGCTGTATACAAGACGTGATATTCTGTATTTTGCCGTTGTAAAACAGAGCTACGGCGACGTCTAAAACGTCCGTGAGATTTCAATTATTAATTTCTGCTCACTTTCTTGCATTAATATGATATTATTAGCTGTTCTCGTTTCACTTTCGTCCTGCTTGTTGAAGTTCTTAATAACAGTACTTCAGTAGTTCTTATACAATTACTTTATGATTTCCGTGTTTGGATCGATGGCCTGATCCAAACACGCGGGAATGTTGCGAGAGTTAAGAAAAGCGCGCGAAATCATTCGCCGAATTTCACTTTAAATTTCCGTGTTTGGATGGTCTGATCCAAACACAGGTTTCGACCAATCAGAGCACGCGTTATATACATGTTATTTTATAATTAAAATTATAAACGTGTAAAATTTAAGGCGGCGGCGGTCTTCGCTCGAAACGTCGATGTTTTGCTTGTATTTTTCAGGTCGTTGAATCCTTCTCAATCTGCAAATTTAGAAATGCTTTTAAAAAGTTAGCCGGCGGTGAAGAGGGGGGCAAGGGTATTTTCGTGACCCGTGATTAGCAATTATTCGTGCTTCGTGATTCGTGATTCGAAGAAATAACATTCCGTGAATCGTGATTAATATGCGTGCCGTGAATCGTGAAGAGCTAAAAGGGCTAGCTAGGGTCTTGAATTTTCCAATATTTTACCCTAAATTGTGAATGTTTACGTTTAAAACTCGACCCAAATTTAGTATTAACGTTAAAAAAATGAAAAAATTTGCTTCCCGCGGTTGTCTTTCTTTAGGTTTCTTCGTTTCATCGTAAACGTCGTTCTCGTGTACCTTCGTACCTCTTCGTAGACTTCATGAACCATCGTAAGACGCTCGTAATGTTTCGTAATGCCTTGCAATGATTGATAGTCCTTTAAAAGCTCTAATGTTAAAGTCAGTAAAATGTGTTTGTGTTAACATCGATTTCTGCTGTCTAGAAAATCGTTAAATAGTTTCAGACTTTGTTTATACGCTTCTGTGTTTCTAAAAATCGTGAAAATGAAATTTTGTTTTTCGTGACTCGTGAAATCTAAAAATGATCTTCGTGATTTCGTGAAGAGACCCCCCCCTTGCCCCCCCCCCCCCTCGGTTAACGTCGGAGCACCCGCCTGAGAGCGCTTGCTTTGCAGGTAACCGTCGGAGCTCCTTATTTTAAAAGCCTTGAGTGACATGCCTGTAATCTCTTTGACTAGCCACAAAGATGGTTTCCAGGCTTACGAACAGTGGAAGAAGGACTGGAACAGCAACAGTCAACACGAAGGCAATCTTAAGATGTTTATGGCTGAGCGTATCTTGCCGTACTGGGTGAAATGTTGCGACTGTGGTAAATGGCGACAATATCCTCTGACCGAAGGCGATCTGAGCACGGATATTGTGGAGTCCTGGACATGCAGGAGTTATAGAAAACTGAAGAAGGTGAGACGAAAGAACATTATTCGCAGATGTTTGTGATGTTACTCTGAGTATGCATCTACACCGGGCAAGCTGAAAAGTTTGCCTGACCACGGTGGGAATCGAACCCGCGACCTTTGGGATAATAAGTTGCAAAAAGGTGTAGGTATGTGGATACCACCCGCGAGGAAGGACAGGGGCCGATTTAGCCTCATTTGCCAGGAGGGATGAAGGTTATCCATGGGGTGGTTCTTGAGGGAGCCTTGCTACCCACTATCCTCTGCAGTCTGCAACGCTACTATCCTGACATTACCATTACTTAAGATGGCCGAATCTTCATGTTCGCCGTTCTGTACGTTTTACATTATCTTTTGTTTATAAAGTTTATATCGGCTTTTTATCACCTGTTCGTGACTAAATTTGCTTGTTCAAGTACAGTATATTTGAAAATATGGCTGTATGTTTAACCATGATATTTAACTAAAGCATTTTGAATATTTTCTCACGAGCTCGCAAATCAAAAGCTTTGACAAGATTCAAAGCTTTGAAAAGCATTCTAACTTCGTTGAAATTTCCACTGTAGAAAAGCGAAGATGATAAAGTGGAAAACAATCTGTGCAACGGCGATGAAGACGAGGTGTGGTAACATTTAGTTTTTTTCGGTTCTTTGCCGGTAGTGTCGAGTCAGGGCCTATCCCTAAGAGCCCAAAGTGAGATCTGCATGTCTTTTGTTAACGTATGTAAAATTTAATATGTGTGCATATATGAGAGACGGCCAGCCTGGCTAGGCTGAGGTCTCGCCTTGCGCTAGGTGAGATCTAAGTCAAATTGGATAGAATTTCCCATATGAAGGCTTTATCTCGCCTGACCATGAAGGACATTCTCTGCCGGTTTTGACCTATAATAGGGAGCTTAAAATACACCAAATCTACGACGCGGACGTGACGAAAAACTGCCGCTATTATCACAGTTTCACTTCACGGGTAAAAACTATGGATTGTTGTTGGTAAACGAAGCCAGGGACACGAGAAAAACAAAGTAAAACTAGCTAGTCTCCCATTATTAGCGACTGTTTTTTGGTCGCATCCGCGTCGCAGATTTGGTGAATCTTAAGCTCCCTAATATTGTATTGAACGGCATGGTTGGAAAAATACAAACATAAAATAAACATCAATGAACTTAAACAGACACTATTAACGACGTAATACCAAGTACAGTTTAGTTGTACGGATTTTGATGCTGCAGTTAGGCTTATATCAGTCGTGTATATATTCTCCAATATATCGTATCACAATCGAATGAAGCTAATTTCATCCATTATCTAGAGAGTGCAGCACTGTCACTCAGGCTATTGGTATGAAGGCCTTGGCTACACTCCTCTGTTGAAATTCAGTCCCACAGCTTCATTGGTCGCCTCGTATTTTCTTGACGGCGTAGGACTAAGTCCAACTGATAATAACTGGGAAGATACCAATGTTAAAGAAAAGCTGGAACAAGGTAACCTGTCGATCTGATGAGAAAAAAAGAATTCAACTACCAGTTTGCGTGCGGGCGTTGCATAGAAACACCTGCTTTGCCCAATCGTATTCTTGCAACTCCCCTCTCGTTCAATGTATCAGTAAAGCTTGTAAATTGGTTAGGTGAAAGCTTTGTTAAATACGGGGGATACAAAGATATACCAACATGTGAAGATGAACAGTAGCACTTTAGCTCGTCACATAGCTAAGTGTCCACGGAATTTTTCCCTGATTGTAGCTTCTGCACTGAAGCTCGGTGGTCAGAGCGCTGTAGCGGAGCCGCAGGTACGATTTCTGGCGTAAGGCATATTATACCGCAGGCTTCCCATTTACTGTTGGGAGTTTCGGAACACTAATTTCGACTGTTTTGGCTGCCCCTACTTTTGAGTAGGGTTAGCCAGAACAGGGGCAGCCAGAACAGTCGTATATAACTGTCTCAGTCAGAACAGTTATATCATAGGCAGCCCAATGTTATGGGTTGCCTGCCTGCCTGCGCGCGGGCGAGGCATTGTATAGTTGTATTATTTCCTAAGGTAGGCAAATTCAATCAAACTAACGATACATATACTTTCAAACAATCCAAAATACTTCAAATATCTTTACATCTACGCTAAACTAATCACGGAAATAAAATCTACGATACTTTTACTATATACTAACAATATTTTAACGTACAAAACAAATTTGTAATGAGAGAAAAATACGAAAAAATTTTGCATTTTTTTTTTCAATTCTTGAATGAGACGATGCTGGATTTGCGCTCGACGTTGTTGATGGCGTTTCAAATGACGAATTTCTAATCTCATTGGCTGTCATTTTTACGGTTTTAAAACGTAGAAAAAGACAGCCAATGAGATTAGAAATTCGTCATTTGAAACGCCATCAACAACGTCGAGCGCAAATCCAGCATCGTCTCATTCAAGAATTGAAAAAAATGCAAAAACTTTTCGTATTTTTCTCGCATTACAAATTTGTTTTGTACCTTAAAATATTGTTAGTATATAGTAAAAGTATCGTAGATTTTATTTCCGTGATTAGTTTAGCGTAGATGTAAAGATATTTGAAGTATTTTGGATTGTTTGAAAGTATATGTATCGTTAGTTTGATTGAATTTGCCTACCTTAGGAAATAATACAACTATACAATGCCTCGCCCGCGCGCAGGCAGGCAGGCAACCATAACATTGGGCTGCCTATGGTTATATGACCGTTTTCGGTTCGATTCTGTTAGTGTTCCGAAAATCCCTCCGAACAGTAAATGGAGCAGCCTGCTGCATTGAAATAATGCGCAATTGCTGGCGTTACCGCTGCATGGTACGATAATCGAAACATAGAATGGAGCAAAGGTAACCAAACATTCAAATTATATATTTTCAGCCGAAGTCAGACCGTTCTTTCATCCTGATTCCGACGATGGCATAGCATTTTGTTTTCGACCTGACGTCATGGAGGAAGAAGAATTGAAACAGTTCCCGGAATTTGGAAGGTAAGTTGAATGTGACAAATCTTGCTGCCGATGTCATTTGGTATATGTTTAAACGTTCAATGCCTTTCACATCTGAGATCGTAGATTCTCGCTGCGGACTCGTGACATTTATTTGAAAAAGAGTCAGTCAACGCTCTACCTAAAGTCGTTGGATTTTCTTCGGGTTCTCCGGTTTCCTCCCACAGGGAATGTTGACAAGCTGCGTTGTGATTTTAGCCCTAACTGACCCTTCCACCGTAGCTGTGCTCCGTGATCAGACACGAGTCATAAGGTGGCTGCCAGAGTCGTCCTTAGAGAGCCTTCGACTCGATCAGGTTGAGCTGCGTCCTTCGTAATTCAGCTTAGCTCTCAGCTGCAAGTAAGGGTGTACATTCCCATTTCTCATTTGTGTTTAGAATCCAGAACAGATTCTTGGCATTAAGAAACTTAATTTTGACACTTTGGAGTTTGAACTACAAGGTATTGTATTGAACAAAAATCCTGTATACTCCTGAGCGTATACTCATATATACACAGTTATTTCAATTAACGTTGTCCACGAGCAAAGCGGAAAAGTCGAATACGAGCGCGAAAGGCTGCTGGGAATCGCTTTGAAAATATATATATACATATATACCATATATATATATATTTGGTATATATATACCACATATATATACCAAAATCCAGTATACTCATCATTATTGTACAGTCCTTTACCTTTTCAGCAAATCCTAACCCTTGACCAATGTGTGAACCACTTAATCCTTCGAGGCCTGGCACGGATTTCCATTATTCCCCAACTGGAAAGAGTTCTAAGATACCTCACAGTCAAAGGGTATATCAACTATGGCATCTTACAAAGTACTCCTTATATATCGTTCCCAATATCTAACGCTTGTACGGTAAGTAGCGCAGGGTATGATGTTAGTAGATCATGTGGCGTCAACATGAAATAGCTTCGGTATATAGGAATCTTTTATTTGAAGTTAAGTCCTTTCTTCAAAAACACTAACTGAAGAATTACTAGAACCAAAATAACTTCCATGTTTATCATGTTGTGCCGTCCACCCCTCCGCGTCCCCCGCCTATAAGAGCCCCCCTTGTTATCAATCCAATTCTACATCACTGGCGCAGGGGTGGTATATATAGTACATGGTTATTGTACATCTGTTTATAATAATAATAATAATAATAATAATAATAATAATAATAATAATAATAATAATAATAATAATAATAATAATAATAATAATAATAATAATAATATGTTTTCTTTTAATAATAATAATATTTTATTGAGGGAGTTCATTCATCCCAAGATGCTTTTCAATGAAGCCGAATCTAGCGTCGTCTGCAACTCTCGTAACTCCGTCCCCGTTTGATCCGGGCTTAAAGCAAATTTGCCTCAAGCTTGTGCCAGCTTATGCCAAATATTGTGTTGAATATTTTTAGAGTTCACATGTCATAGTCATTGGAGCCGGGGCTTCTGGACTGGGAACTGCAAAACAGCTTCATAATTTTGGAATGAAGGTATAAATTAACTATAATAATGATGAATTTTTTTTCTTTCTGTGTTGGTGTAATGCACTCAGATGAATATGATGCTTGTGATGTTACTCTGAGTGTATATCCACACCGGGCAAGCTTGAAAAATATGCCTGACCACGGTGGGAATCGATCCTACGACCTTTGGAATACTAGCCCTATGCTCTGCCAACTGAGCTACGCGGTCAGGTCGGCTCGAGTACGCGACACCTTGGAACTGAGTCTAGTTCCTTCGACATCGATGTAATCTAGTAATAATTTTTTTCATTATGTATTGGCGTATTTGTTGTTGGCAGAGCATTGGTCTCCAAAGGTCGTAGGTTTGATTCCCACCGTAGTCGAATTGGATTCCGATGGTCGTAGGTTCGATTCCCACCGTGACCAGGCATATTTTCCAAGCTTACCCGGTGTGGATATACACTCAGAGTAACATCACAAGCATTATAATAATGATATTGCAACAGTGAAAATAGTAATGTTGGTGCATCGTCTGGCCAATCCTTGTTCCCTAGGTAACAGTGTTAGAAGCCCGAGATCGTATTGGTGGTCGTGTCTGTGATGAAACTATCGAGAAGGTTACTGTGGGCAAAGGAGCACAGATTATGAATGGTTGTATGAACAATCCCATGGCAGTCATTGTCAAACAGGTGGGGAAATGCTGGTTCATAATAATGTTATTCACTTAATGCGACCTAAATCCGATTTCCTGCAATATGTGTTCTCTGAATATAATTTTACCTCGGTCGCTCATGTGAAGTGCGTATTTATTTAGATTCAGCCATTTGAACACCGTAGGTTTTCTCTTCGTCCTCTGGTTTTCTTCTGCGGGTACACTGTCCAATATTAAACCATTCAAAATTGAACAATACTTCAATATCATTTCTGTTTTGTCCGAAGTGTGGTCTGACAATGAAGTGTATTGGTGACAAGTGTGACTTGTTGGAGGAAGATGGTAAAGTCATTGATATGGAAACGGATGAGAGAGGAGATTTTCATTTTAATGCTTTGTTGGATGCCGTCGCTGACTGGAGAAAACAGTCTGATACCGACTGCTCCTTGGGAGGTATGCTTAACTGACCTTATATTGGAGAGCTCTGACTATCAGTTCTAAACTGTTCTCCCTTACGAGTCATTTCTTATTGACCCAGTGTTACTACAGGAGGAAACCTAAACTAAACTAATTGAATTGAATTGATTTAATATATAATATTTATATTGGATAGCTCTATCAGTTCTAAACTATAGATGTCCAGTAAGAGTCTTGTATATTAAGTGTTACTACAGGAGGGAACGATTAAGTGCCACTACTGGAGGAAACCTAAACTATACTGGATAGCTCTATGATTTCTAAACTGTTCTCCCTAGAGGTCCAGTAAGGGACATTTCTTATCGATCCAGTGTTACTATGGGAGGAAGGCTAAACTATATACTAACTTTATTCGTACTGAATAGCTTTATCTGTTCTAAACTGTTCTTCCTAGAGATCCAGTAAGAGTGACCTCTTTTTGACCAAGTGATACTGCAGGAGGAAATCTAAACTATATCAACTTCATTTATACTTAATAGCAATATCAGTTCGAAATTGTTCCCTCCAGCATCGGTTACAAAGATGGAAGGCACATATTCTAACCGTTATGTTACCAACTCCCTTATTTCTGTTGAATAGTTTTGTTCATATTTGTTTAGACAAACTTTTGGAAATTCATAAAATGTTTCTGGATCAAACTGCAACGGATTTTGCAGAGGTACTAGACTGGCAACTAAGACAATAATGAAACAGAAATAGAATGTTACTCTGAGTGTGCATCCACACCGGGCAAGCTGAAAAGTTTGCTTGACCACGGTGGGAATCGAACCCGCGACCTTTGGGATACTAGTCCAACTCGTAGCTCAGTTGGTAAAGCATTGGTAGAGAATCTATTTTTCCAGTTGTCTGGTTGAAAATAAATTTTATTTTCAAATGTTTTGAAACAATATACACAAACCAAAACAGCGGACCAAGCTGTGACCTAAGGTTAGCGCCAGTAGCGTAGCCAGCCTGCTTACTCCTGCTATGTAAATTTCAAAGCATTATTCATTTCTTTAGGAATTCATTGTTTTTACAGTCTATGAACACAGAAATATTTGCATAGCAGGAGCAAATAGTCAGGCTGGCTACGCCACTGGTTAGCGCTGATCCAGCTTTGAACAACCGGCCCCTGTTTACCCCCTCGTCCACCTTACCAGATCACACTGGATCCATCCTGGAGTTTTAGCAGGATTGCCTGAACCCAGACATTTTCCACAAAAGTGATAAATATGTTTTCCTTATTTTAATCCAATTCCAGCCATCGGAGCGTCTCTTAAATTTCCACCTCGGAAACCTGGAGTACGCATGCGCTACAACACTGGAACACGTGTCTGCCCTGTCGTGGGACCAGAACGAATCATTTCCTCAGTTTCAAGGCAATCATACTGTACTCACTCATGGATATGCAACTATCTTACAACGTCTCGCTGAAGGACTTGATATTCATTTGGGTGCTGAGGTATCAAAGCATGAAAATGACTTAACCAACAAAAATCTCACATCTTGTAGCAAGTCTGCCAACAAGCCATCAACAAGTTGTGTTCGCACTGCTTGTCCCAAATTGTCAACAAGTTTGGAACAACCTGTTAATAACTTGTAACAACCTTGTTGATACTATCAGACTTGTTGCAAGGTTGCTTCAACAAGTCCGATACACTATCATGATATAACAGTATTGTTACAACCTTGTGTGATCAACCTTGTAACATTCTTGTTATATCATGACTGTATCAGACTTGTCAGAACAACCTTGCAACAAGTCTGATAATGCCATCAACCTTGTTACATGTTGTTAACAGCTTGTTCCAAACTTGTTACGACAACTGGGAACAAGCAGTGTGAACACAGGCTGTCAACAAATTGTGACCAGATTTGTAACAACTTGTTTTTGCAGACCTGCAACAACTTGTGCGTTTTTACGCGTGTACACAAGCTGTCGACAAGTTGTGTTCGCACTGCTTGTTCCCAGTTGTGATAACAAGTTTGGAACAAGCTGTTAACAACTTGTAACAAGCTTGACGGCATTTTCAGACTTGTTACAAGGTTGTTCTAACAAGTCCGATACAGTCGTGATATAACAAGAATGTTACAAGGTTGTTCTAACAAGTCTGATACAGTGATGATATAACAAGAATGTTACAAGGTTGACGACACAAGGTTGTAACAATATTGTTACATCATGACTGTATCAGACTTGTTGGAGTTACTACAACTGTTAACAAGTTGTTCCATACTTGTTGACAACTTGGGACAAGCAGTGCGAACACAACTTGTTGACGGCTTGTTGACAGCCTTGCTACAAGATGTGAGATTTCTGCGTGTGAAATACAGTATCTCCATTTTTAACAATCTATCTCTAATTGGTTTGTTATGTATTTTCAGGTGACATCAATCGATTACTCCACCAAGACCATTTCAGTATCCACAAGAGACGGAAGAATGTTTATTGGTGACAAGGTATTTAATAACGGTTTTGACGAGGAACAGGATACAGTGTGTTGTAAGATTTATATAATTTTATGCTTTCATGTTTTCTAGGTTGTTGTGACTGTTCCACTTTCATTGTTGAAATCTGAGATTATTTCATTTACTCCACCATTGCCAACGAAGAAGACAGATGCAATCAAAAGACTTGGAGCTGGATTGATAGAGAAGGTGAGAATTATACTGATGAATCCTGGAGAAAGCCAATGTATGATTCGAGCTATAGACTAAATTTTGATCTAGGCAAGAAGAACAAAATCCATCACCACAGTTAGAAAGAGCATGTTAAAATTAGTAAAATTGCAAAGTTTGCTTGCGAAATGTTGTAAAATGCGGAAAATAGAGCCCTGCGAAATTTGCAAATTTTGTATTAATTTGTATTACGCGCACGGGAAAATACACCACTTTCGGCCCATATGTGGTGCATTTTCCCGTGCGTAATACAAAATTTGCAAATTTCGCAGGGCTATATTTTCCGCATTTTACAACATTTCGCAACCAAACTTTGCAATTTTACTAATTTTAACATGGTTCTACTAGCTGTGGTGATGGGTTTTGTTCTTCTTGCCTAATCCTCATTTTACAACATTTCGCGGCCAAAATTTGCCATTTGACTAATTTTAACATGGTTCTACTAGCTGTGGTGATGGATTTTGTTCTTCTTGCCTAAATCAAAATTTAGTCTATATAGCTGGAATTGCCTATATTGAGAGATGTCGTTGTTTTAGGTGATCCTGTCGTTTCCCGAGTGTTTCTGGGGCAAGTGCTCCGCAAAAACTGGTACGTTTGGACATATTCCTAACTCGAAAGATACGAGAGGCTTTTGTGGAATATTTTATGATTTATCACCCAAGGTATGTTTATACGAATATTCAACAATTATTCTTCATACTCGAGTCGTATATGAGCTGCTGATAACTTTTTCAATCGCTACTTCGAACATTCCTGTAAAGCTTGAAATTTTTATAGAATTTAGAATTTTTTAGACAAAACAAGTGCTTCATGACATTGCTTCAATAAAGAATATAAAGAGTTTTTGCTTTTAGATTTTTCAAAAAAATTATATTCTGTCAATGTCTTCATCTTCGCTCTTTCGGCATTAGTTTTTTCAAAAATATATCCTTTAACTGGTTTAAATATAAATTGCTAACCTGTAAATAATTTCCGGGAGCTTTTTTCATTGTGCTTTTGTTCCTATTAAGGCTATAAAAAATGAATAACTTGCTGTTTTCTTGTTCGCAAAACTCCGGTAATTCTTGAGCCGCCATCTTGCTTTTTCTAATAGCAGGGAATCAGATTACAAGATCGTTAGTTTCGTTACTTTTGCCAAGAGCTTCAATTTTAACAACGTTCTCTTTTTCTCGAAGAATACCTCAGACAAACAGAAAAAAACCAGTCATGTCTTGATGACAGTTTTGGCCGGAAATGCCGCCATCGAAGCACAAAAAATGGAAGACAAGGAGATCGTTGATCGATGTTTGAAATTATTGAAATCCATGTTTCCCAACGAGGTATGTAAGCACAGTATATTTCAGACGTAACGGTCCAGTGTAGGTAGCGCCTGGGCTGTGCCAGTGTAAGCCGTAGGTGGCGATGATAGCAAGACAGCACAGGTAAGTTAGCCTGACCATGGTGGGAATCGAACACGCGACCTTTGGGATACTATAGTCCAATGCTCTGCCAACTGAGCTACGAGGTCAAGTCGGTTCGAGATGTATGTATGTATGTATGTATGTATGTATGTATGTATGTATGTAAACGTTTATTTAAAAGCAAGAAGGGAAAAAAAAACGACGCTAGCCTCATCAGCTACAAGCTGGTTTCCATGAGAGGCGTCGGAACACACTTGAATAAATAAAGTAACTTACAAGAATATTTACAAGATATTTACAAGATTACGAGAAAATAAGTAAGTTATGTATCAAGACTATTAATATTCATTTTAAAGGTATATTCAGATTGAGCTAGTTTTGCTTGCAAAGGGAGGCTATAAGTTTATATAGGTTATAAGTTTCGCCCCGCTAAATTTAAAGTCCCATAAGGGAGAACAGTAATCAAAATATGGCTGTATAAGGGCGTTATAAATCAATCTCATAGTTTCAATAGGGACAAACGGCTTGATTCGTTTCATAACTGTTATTCCAGCGCCCATATTTTCTCAATATGTTTGTCCCAGAGTAATCTTTTCGGAACTGAGTCTAGTTCCTCTGATATCAATGTATTCTAAGATATGATACTTTTTGTGTGTGTTGGTGTTGTGTACTCAGGTGAATATGTTTGTTAGTGGTGTTACTCTGAGTGTGTAACACCACACCTCAGCTTGCCCAGTGTGGATGCACACTCAGGGTAACACCACCAACAATCATATTCACCTGAGTACATAACACCAACACACACAAAAACAGTCAAAAGTAGCATAGGTAAATTTTAAGTTTTGAAGGAGTTGAAATGTTTGAGGTGTTAAACACTGAGTAATATGTAATATGTAATATTTATATTTAAACAGGAAGCCTAATCAGTGATCTACACTGTTATCAACTAGGGTCCTGTATCTACAATAATTACAAAATAATTAAGACTAAGATAAATAAGAATATGTACTACAGGTTAAAAGCTAGTAAAGTTCAATGTTCCAATAAGAAACTCTAATTAAACATCTAAAAAGTTCTGTAACTGAGTCACTTACAAATCCTTCAAAACTTAGAATTTACCAATATGTAAAATTTCTTCTGTGATCACAGAAACTTTGATAGCGCACATCAGCCTTTATTGTAGTTGAAATCCTGATCTAGAATAATACCAAGCAATCTGTTGAAAACAGTGTAATTATACCTTGATTACATTTCGAGTTCATCGCGTCCAACAAGTGTAGGGTGGACTCTGCTGATGCTGCGAAATTCGAGACCGGAATTTAATGTAAAAAATTACCAACTCGCAAAATCTCGTACGACATTTTTATTGTACTGTAACCATCTTCAATCTTGTAGACGGTTCCAGACCCTCTGAAGAGCATCGTTACCCGTTGGGGAAAGGAACCATTTTCCAAAATGGCGTACTCGTACGTTGCAAAAGATGGTAATGGTGAAGACTACGTTACACTAAGTGAAGATGTCGAGAAAAAAGTTTATTTTGCCGGAGAGGTGAGGTTTTTTATTGCACTCTTCTGTGGAAACACCACGTAAATTTATCACTGCAAAGCTTTCGATCCGTAAGCCCATATTATAAGCTCATATTATTAGCACTGATGAAGATCCGGGCTTACGGATCGAAAGCTTTGCAGTAATACATTTTCGTGGTGTTTCCACAAACTAAATTATTGTATGTTTTATCGCCATGCAAACTTATGCAAAGAACGAATTACAAACTAGCTATCCAGTATAAATACAGTTGGTTTTATCTTTAGTTTATCCCTTCTTCTTTCACAGGCAACGAACAGACAGTTTCCTCAAACCGTGACGGGAGCTTACCTGAGCGGAGTACGAGAGGCTTGCAAGATTCACACGGACTTGGAAGAGGAGACCCAAAGTTAATCATGTATATATTCCCTCAAACCATGCATCCTTCAACAAACGCCTACTAGCAGGCCAAGTATTGCATTCTTTCTGTTGACTGTCGACGGAAGTGAAGCCTGGTACACTATCAAAGTTTCTGTGATCACAGTAGAAATTTTGCAAAGTTTGAAGGATTTGTAAGAAATGTTTGAGGAAACTGACTAATGCTCGTATTCTAAAAGCTCACTCACTCACACTCAATGAGTGGAAGTTCAATCTGAGCTTCTCTCGGGTGTCATTGCTGTTTTTGAATAGCTGGAGGGTTAGTATCGTACCTTACTATGTGACTACTCACCCTCCAGCTATTCAAAAACAGCATTGACACTCAAGAGAAGCTCAGATTGAACCTCCACTCATTGAGTGTGAGTGAGCTTTTAGAATACAGGCGTAAGTGTTTAACACTGAATCAGTTCCCTCAAACATTTCTTACAAATTCTTCAAAACGTAGAATTTACCGATGCAAAATTCCTACTGTGATCACAGAAACTTTGCACCAGCCTTAAGTTATTCATTTGTTTCAAAATGCAGCAATCTAGTTCGGCAGAACCCGAACAACATACGTAAACATATGATCAAGTTATTACCATTTTGTAAATATTGATTTAAAGTTATATATTTTAAAAAATTCCAGGTTTTAGGCATTATGTTTTGTAAGTAAAAAAAAAGAAAATAATGTTATACTCTACGCTACGTTATATATGACCAGTAAACTTTGTTGTGCTTTTTAAGAAGCATTTAAATGTACCAAACTTATAGTTACATCTACCAAACGGAGTATGATCATGAATTTGGTGATAGCGGGACTAAATACACCATTTCTATACTTACGTCATGATTCATGAATACTTTCTTGGCCTGGGGCCTTTCACGATTCATGAGAACGAGGCTCCCAGGCCCAGAAGAAATTTGTGACGTAATTATCGAAATGGTGTATTGTGCGAGACGCGATAATATAATTACTCCACGTTTCTTTGGTGTTTCTTACATATTGCGGGCTCGATTAGAGGTAAACAAAAAATTGATAAAAAGTAACAAATAAAAAAGGTCCAATTTGTTAATGATTTAATTCGTAGTTTGCTAGAATTTCATTCTATTTATAAATTCTTGTACAGAATAATGCCTAAGGTAAGTACATTTGACTTGTATTGTTAAAAGGTAAATAGTTATACGAGGGTTTGAAATTATGGGGTTATTAATTGATTTGACAGTTTATAGTGATAGTTGAAAAACAAAGAAACCGCAATTTGGAATTGCTATCTTTCAAAATATTATTGACAGCTGACTATTACTGCATAACCAAATCATGTGTGTGTTTTCACTTTTTCTAGGTAAAAATGCATTACACAATCACAGGAAAAACACAAGTCGTCAAAACACTAGATGCCAATGTTGCGACACTCAATTTTATAGCACGAGGACTGCCTGGCGCACCAGAGGGATACAAAGTCGATACTATAGAAACTGTCGAAGGATATGTCTTAACCGATTGGTCGAAACCACCGCCCGATACTGTTTATATTACTGGAGTTATCGAGAATTGACTAAAATGTTTGTTAATTGTGATTCTGCAAAAAGGAATGTTTGAATTAGAGAGAAATAAGAAATAGGTTTTATATAATTGGTAATGCTAAATGCGGGAAAATACAATGTAACAAATATGGTTTGGGAATTGAAGGAGTCAAATGGTGCACTATTAATTGGAAAATATGCAGAAAACAGATGGGTTGCAAGAATGGTGATTGGGCCATTTTATATACCGAAAATTAGCTGTTTTAGAATTCTTTGAGTCTAATTGTCTATTTTCATAAATGTGAGTTGTATATTTCCCCTATATACCCCCACAAGAATATCCATGCACTATTGTTCAAGAATTTTCTAGGTCTTTAAATATTGTTGTATATATATATTGTTGTGAACCATATTTATGAGAATAATAATAATAATAAAACTATGTTGATTATCTTCAATCATTCTATGCCAGTTTGGTGGCAAATTTTAAGGAAAGGGAGAATTGTAATTTTCTTGCAACTATAATGCTATAAGTATCAGTACATGTATCACTCATTAATGCTTTTGTGCTTTGAACAATTGCTTGTTCACATGGGGAAGTTCTGAGTGACTGGGCTGCTGGCCCCCGCTGGCCAAGTAAGAAGTCTGTGCTGGCTAAGGCCTTTTTTATATATTCTTATATAAATTCATATAAGAATTAAATATATAAATCTTTGAGATTACAATCCAACCACTGAGTCCGCAACCCATATACTTATAAACTTCCCTTCTCCCCCCGGAATTTAAGAACCAAAATTCAATATGGCGCCTATCGCTCTGAAGGACAAACGAATTGAAGAGCTAACAAAACAGTTGGTAAAACGATTCATAACAGGAGAGGTAAATGGATGGATTCCTTAAGGCATGTTCTCTAATTTAGATACAAAATTCATGCCCGATTTTGTTTCATAGCTTGCAAAAAAGAACGTTCCTGTGGCAGTACAGTTTGCCTTGTCAAATTTTAGGTAGTATTGTTTTTATGGTTATTACGAATTAAATAGCAAAGCTTAGTGGTTCGTCTTTTATTATGTGGTAGTACATGATAGTGGTCGTTATCTGTAAAGGTTTCAACTTTCTAGCGATCTTCAAAAGTTAAATAAACGTAGATGATGGGTACGGTACTGACGTACAGGTATACTGTCTGGAAACTGGGTAACATGTACTGTATCTAGACATGTAGTGTTGTACTTTCTTTGTGCATTTGTATTGTACGATTTTGTTGTATGGATTGAATATTTTGTACAAATGGTTACAGTAAATATATATGCTAGTATTAGGGTGTGATTACTGTCCAGTATTAAACTCTGCAGTACAATTTAATTTCAATAAACATACATTACATATACCCTTGCCTTGTTAATTTTTTTGCTAGTAGACAAAAGGTTTTCCAAGCGCCTGAAAGATCTGCATTATATAAATGCACTGAAAAGTTCACATATTAAACCATTTTATAATTGGAAACTGCATGTTAGTCATGTCGTATTTAACAAATATAAAACATTTTCCGTGTCGATATACAGTTTATCAACACGAGTGGAAATTGGGAAAACGATTCCACGAGTGTTGATATAACTGTATATCAATACGGAAAATTTTTATATTTGTTTTATAATATAGCACAAAGAAACATAAAGAATGAAATTTTCCAACATTTCCGTGTTGACATTGAGTTATGTCAACACGGCTCTTAGCCAATCAGCATTCAGAATTTACAAGTGCTATATTATAAATTGTTATGTTAAATCTGTATTTGTGTTTTAGATACCATAAATATTTAGATGCTGATAGTAACAAAGTCGATAGAACAATTGAAGGGTAAATGTCACCAGCCTTATCAAAATTGGATTGCAATTGACATTTGTGTTTTAAAAGTAGCCATAATAATGTAGAAAATAAAATATTTGATTTTTAAGGCTTTGTGAGAAGTTCACTATCCATGGTCAAGAGCATAAATCAAAATCACTTTCTACATTGGTGGAGAAGTTTATGAGTTGTGCTTTGTTTGATAAGCAGTATGGTGAAAAGGTCTGGTGTTTAACTAAGGCTGCCATACAGAGATCAATTTCAGAAAGCTCTGTGTTGTTTTTTTGAATAGCTCTATCAGTTCTGAACTGTTAATTTCCCTAACAGTCCAGTAAGAGCCAATTAGCCTAATTCTCACAAAGGCCAAAATCCACCATTTTTGGGATACTGTCTGCCCTCGTGAAAGATTCTGGACAATTCAAACAACGTGAAAATTTACCATTATACAAACAACCATATTAACTGCACTAAAAAGTCATATTTTGTGGTGCAGAGACTCTCAAATGTGGGACAGGCACTACCGGTATCCCCAAAATGGTGGGAAAATTGGCCGTGAGACAGGCTAATTGGTCTAGCTCACACCTGGAGAGAATTTGTTGTGTTTGACGTCAAACTGGAAGCACAGTTCTCGCTTGTGACTCGTATGAAATTTTTAAATCCTGCTTTCAGAGCAGATTGTAGACAAATTTTCTGGGTGGGGATGGGTGCATTTGAGTGCAACCCCCACACACACACACACCAAGAATATTTTGCACCTCTCAGAAAGTTTTCCCACCCCACTCAGAGAAACTTGCACCCTCCCATCCTCCAGAAATTGAAATACCCATTGGATTAAATGGCAATATTGAAATAAGGATTTTGAGCTAAATAAGACTAGAATCCCAAAATTTTCCCTAAGAGAATTTTTGGGACATATTTTTCCTGGGGACATATTTTCCCAACGCCAATTTCTGCTTGATTTTGCAAATTAGTTTTGAAAAAAAATAATGATGGGAATGTGAAAGTTTTAAGCTTCAAAATACTGTGTCATCCAGTATATAATACTGTATGACAACGCAGGCAATATACTGGCAATACTGCAGACAATACTCTATACTGCAGACAATTATTTTGAATAATATTTTAATTTCTAGAGTGATGTCCATTATGCCTTACTTAAATTTCTGACCGTACTATCAGAGTCTCCAATCAATGCTGTTTACCATCAACCACACGCAGACCAACCTGAGGATGGTTAGTTGTTAAATGTTATCCCATTCCCATTAAATGCTCAAAAGAACAAGACTACTTGACAACTAAGGAAATCAACTACTTTTGGCAGAGTAAACAAACGAGTCACAACTCTTAATGGGTTAATGCTGATTATGGGCAGATATGGTCTAGTTAAACTATTAATTTTTTTTTAATTTTATTTTACAAGATTCGCCAAACATAACAGACATAAATAAGACTAATACTTTACAAAATTTACGTACAATTTGGGCAGGGACTAGCCACAGAGATAATCTCCAATTATGGGGTCCCTTACAATAAGTTACAATATATATACATTAAAACAAATTATGCTAAAATGTCAACAACATGTCCTCACTAATAACAAGTAATAAGCTATCAAGAGACCGAGTTGAGTGGCATTTGACGCACACTGACTTAAATGTTCTAGGATTGTCCGGGTTGTATATTTGTTCTAAAAGGTTTAAGTAGTATAATTGAGTAAAGAGTTTTTAAAGTAATTTCCCATTGAGCAGTAAAGTCATCTAGCTGGCATATTAGAGAAAGTAAAAGGTACACTGGGACACATTAATGCAATAAAAGAATATGTTTCATGATAGAAAACGTGTCAAGAAAGCGTTAATCGAATTTCGTGTAACAACAGAAAGCACATCTTGGGTTCCAATGTTTCATTTCCACTGTTTTGATACAGGGCATGTTTCTAAATGCATTTTATTGGCGTTCGGTTATTTCTGAAAAGTACCATAGACAATGGCATAGAACAGTACTGTCTTTGTCAGTGTAGGTAGTGCAAATAAAATGAACAAGATTTCGTTGGTAGGGATTTGTATTTGTATTTTTTGTATTTAAAAAAGAACCTCTGTTAGCTAACGCTAGTTTACACGAGGTCTTAAAAATAGGATTACCCTACAAGATAAAAAGTCTATAAATCTAGGTATTTGTAAAAATTACTAAAATACGTTAAAAGTTCAAATAGTTAATAATAATTATATGAACCAGTCTAGCTGTTTAAGAACAGCAGACTTAAACATGGATTTGGAAGATATGATTTTTATAGTATAGTCTAAATTGTTCCATAGACGGATAGCTCTGGTCCTAAAAGCCCGAGCTAAAAAGGTTTTCTTTTTTAACATAGGTTTCTCTAACAACATATTATCACTTCGACACCTCGACGAAAATCTAGTATTGTGTTCATGAGTAATTTCAAATGGTTTAAAATTCACGTAAATTGCATTTGGTTCACCAGAATAAAGTACATTATGCAATGCCATTAAGGTTATGCAACTACCTGAAAAATATAAGGAGAATTTCGACGTTTCGAGCGAAGGCCTTTTGTCTGGAGTTTCTAGAAGCTTGTTCCTACTTCATCCAGGTGATCTTGATACGCGGAAAAGTACTGGCACTAGTTGTCAAATAGAAATCCATTTTATGATTAAAACAACTGAATATCTCCTGTAATATACTTTATTTCGATTCCATATTTTTGTCAGAGCTATAGTTCTCATAACCAAACATAATTACAAAATTTCAACTAGTTTCATGAAGAATAATGAAAGATATAATTGACTGAATACATCAAAATGGATTTCTATTCGGACAACCCTTTCTGAGCGCTGATTGGCTAAAATACGAACACGAGATCACCTGGCATAGCACAGTACATTGTTCTAATTTGACAACATCAACTAAGGTTTTTGCATGTTTAATTTATAGTGAAAGATAATTTTAATTGGACGAAATATCTTCTTGAGGGCGAAGAAAAATACATCGTGCATTATTATGACACACATGAAGAGGTATACTACAGGGTGTATAAAAAAAAACTGAACAGATTTGAAATTGCTCTCAAATTCGCAAAACACCTATTTGCATCCGGTTTTTTATATATATAGCTTCTTTGGGTACTTATAATGTAGAATAATGAAAAAATTTCTCAAACTCAAATTCTGTGAACCAGGGGGGTGTGTCTTTTCCAACAAACTAAAAATGGCACGCGCACAAAATTTAAAAGTTGTAATCATATTTTGAGTTAATAGATGGAAACTTTGTCGGGTTTTTAATTACTGTACAAAATTTCAGACAATTTGGTTGAGTTTAAGCCTTTAACTATTCATTTTATTTTAAAAAATCAGCCTTTCGCATGCTTAATTAATGCGTTTACCTAATTTGCAAATTGCTAACATATGCAAATTAGGCAAGGGCATTAATTAAGCATGCAAATAGCTGATTTTTAGGAAAAATGTAACTTTGCGTGAATAGTTAAAGGGCTTAAACTAAACCAAATTGCCTGAAATTTTGTACAGTACTTAAAACCCCGAAAAATTTTCCATCTATTAACTCAAAATATGATTACAACTTTTAAATTTTGTGCGCGAACCATTTTTAGTTTGTTGGAAAAGACACCCCCCCTGGTTCACAAAATTTGAGTTCAAGAAATTTTTTTCATTATTCTACATTATAAGTACCCAAAGAAGCTATATATATATATAAAAACTGGATACAAATAGGTGTTTTGCGAAATTGAGAGCAATTTCAAATCTGTTCAGTTTTTTTTTGATACACACTGTATATTATATGCACAACATTCTACACTTCTCTCTTACCAAAATCATCTATATTTATAAATTTTGTTCCATTTATTTCATTTCTCTCTCACAGTCATGTAGTTTTTGAAGTACTAGTTAAATCATGAGCAGCTGATCTTTATCTGATATACAAACTCGAGTCGAAGGCGTGAGTTTCTGTTTGTATATCAGATAAAGATCGGATGCGAATGTTTTAACGAATAACATACTTAAAAAACGACCCATCTTGTGAGTTCATTGGCGAAGTAATTTTAAAAATAAACATATTGTCTAAGTCGAGAAAATCAAAGCTGAAGTTTATGTAAATCAGGACAAATCTTTATCCGATGTACAAACATTGATTAAACATTAATTTCTTTTGTATTTTCCTCGTGAATTATTAATAAAATTTTTAATATTTAATACAGTTTTCGTCTTTGTTTCAGGAATTTTGGAGTGATTTAGAATCAGAGGTATAGTTACACCGTAATATAAACTTAAGATATTTTTTCTGCATGATTTCCCCCAAGCATAATGGACGAATTGTCCCGTTGTCTTGTGTTTTATAAAATAGGATGAAAGTGACAATGAAAACGACCAAGTTTTAGAAGGACAGGATTTGGATGAAGATGAAAGAAAACAACTCCAAGTAATTAATAGAACCGTTCGACATCCCGAGATTAATGGAGTTACAAAGGAGGTCAGTCCGTCACTAAATAACTGAATGTCAGGCATCCATGTTCTTGATTTAAATTGCCGTTGGTTGCTCCAGACCTGTTAAGAATTTATGTGGAAAATTCATTTCTCCATAGGCATAGATGATATTCCAGCGCTATAGACGAAATTTTGATCTAGGCAAGAAGAACGAAACCCATTACCATAGCTGGAAAGAGCATCTTAAAATGAGTAAAATTGCAAAGTTTGATTGTGAAATGTTGTATAAAAATGAGGAAAATATAGCCCTGCGAAGTTCGCAAATTTTGTATATATTTGCATTACGCACGAGAAAAATGGTTATTTTACCGCGCGTAATACAAATATATACAAAATTTGCGAACTTTACAAGGCTATATTTTCTTCATTTTACAACATTTCGCAACCAAACTTTGCAGTTTTACTCATTCTAAGACGCTCTTTCTAGCTGTGGTGTTGGATTTCGTTCTTCTTGCCTTGATCAAAATTTAGTCTATATAGCTGGAATCACCCATTCTGAGTTTCACGCTTGTATTAAATTAACAGGTGAGAGATATTCTTTGTGAAAATCTAGTGGAAGCTTACTGGTTGACCAATGAAAGTTCTCGTGTGGCTGAAGAAACATCGGAAATGTCACTGGCCTCTCAATGGTACGAATAAAGTCCCGGTCGAACTGGGACAATTCGTCGTTTCATTCCTTAAGCTTCAACTCCATGCTCTTCTTTCGATGTTCTTTAACTACTTGGGATTCATGTTCTGTTGACCATACTTTCAATCATTGTTATATATTTTATAGCACTTTTGTATGATTGCAAAGCTAATAAATAAATAGATAAGCAAATTTCTGAATGGACGACTTGCGCTTTAGAAAAATTTTTAATCTGGGAATAACAAAGGATATTTTCGGAAAGAAGTTATCAAAATTAGAAAAACTGCAAAGTTTGGTTGCGAAATGTTGTAAAATACGGAAAATATAGCCCTGCGATGTTGGCAAATTTGTATACATTTCTATTACGTGCGGAAATTGGTAACTAATTTAGTTACCAATTCACGCACGTAATACAAAAGTATACAAATTTGCCAACTTTGAAGGGCTATATTTTCCGTATTTTACAACATTTCGCAACCAAACTTTTTAATATTACT